TGGAATAAAGACTATCAGTAGCCTCTCAGTTCAGGGAAGGTTTTGAATGAAAATGAATCAGGGAAAAGAACTTAAGGTTTTCAGAGTATATGGGTCTTTGGCATTGTGAATAAGGAGTTGCAAATACAGGGAAGAATAGAGTAGGAGGTACCACAAAAGCCTCTTTGATATGCAATAGACAGGCTTATTATTGATACTGTTTTCTGCTAAGAAAAGCTAGTCCAGAAGGAATTACTAGTAATCATTTGCACTTAAAAAGAAGACATTTAACAAGTAGTTTATAATTTTGAGTGAATATAGATTGTCCGGTGAAACCGCTTGATTGGTCTTTGCAAACAAATAAAAAGTCAGATTTATCCAAGGCTGCCTCCACCACTCACTTCCTCACTCACTCACTCACTCATTTTGTCTTTGTTCGTCATGATCCCCTACCTGGGGGACCTCCCATTTCACTTGTTCTTTAATTTAAATTGTACCTTCACCACATTCTCATCTTCAGGTGTCTCAGACTACACTGGTGGTCCCTTCTCTGATCCTGTGTTTTACCTAAAATCCCACTGTACTGTGTGACATGTCAACCATTGTTTTGCACATATTTATAAGCTTTGCTTCCCCAACTAGATTATAGGCTCCTTGAAGAACAGGTGCTTCATCTGTATTTCACAATGTCTTTCTGCCACATAGGAAGAGGAATTGTGTAAACCATGAGTTTTGGTGTTAAGAGAATTTGAGAAATGGTGAATAATTTGTTCCTCCTTTGGGGATTTGCATATTGGCCTTAAAGGCACTGAGCAGTCCTCCCATAAAGAAACTCAGGTCTTAACCAATGTCGCATTTTACATTTATATTTGATCTCAGAACTCCCCTTTTCACTAAGAATAGCCTGCCCAACTTATGTTCCATTTGTAATTAGAACTGGGCTTATTCAAGGTGCTCACTACATAATGGTAAATAGACCGATGAAGAAAGTGCTCCTTCTTTCTTAGTTATTCCATACATTTATTTAATGGATTTCTTTTCATAGGTTGTGTCAAGATTAATGTGAACTCATTTTATTTTATATATTTTTAAGATTTTGTCTTATTTTATTGTATATTTTTTTAAAGATTTTATTTTTAAGTAATCTCTATACCCCAGATGGGGTTTGAATTCATGATCCTGAGATTAAGAGTCCCATGTGCTACCATCTGAGCCAATCAGGCACCCCAATGTGAACTCATTTTTTTAAAAAATATTTTTATTTATTTCTAAGAGAGAGAGAGAGAGAGCGTGAGCAGGGGAGGGTCAGAGAGAGAGGGAGTCACAGACTCTGAAACAGGCTCCAGGCTCTGAGCTGGCAGTCAGCACAGAGCCCGACGCGGGGCTCGAACCCACGAACCGCGAGATCATGACCTAAGCGAAAGTCGGACGCGTAACCGACTAAGCCACCCAGGCGCCCCTGTGAACCCATTTTTGATGAAAACAAGTTCTAAATGAATGGGGTCATGACTTTTGACTGTTTTTCACTTTTTGGGAATTCATCTCAATAGCCCCCAAACCTGTGAGTGGTGCTGACCCCTAGCTTGTCCGCTCACCATTTTGGGGCATCGATTTCTCAAGAACAGTGTGTTACAAATATAGGGCTGGGTCAAGACTGGGGTTTCCTGGGTGGTGGAAGGAGAAGTGAGACTTCTGCAGTCACTAAGGTTTATTTCCCAAACCCAGCGCCCAAGTTTTTCTTCCCTTATTTGAGGGATGTGACAAGGCAGTTACTGTGAAAAATGGGACTAACCAAGTAGGGGAAGGAGCCAGGACTTAAACTCAGATCTTGTGATTCCAAGACTGGTTCCTCTTTCGCTCTTCCTTTGCAGCTGCTTGCTCACTGCTATGTGACCTCCACGGCTCTAGCCAGAGCCTACAGGGAGCTAAGAAAAAGGAAAGAGATCTAAGACATGGGACAGCCCTTGCCCTGTCCCTGACCCCTGCACACCAGCATGGAAAGAGAGACTATGGCTTTCTTTCAAGGACTTTGATAAGAAGGATATCTTTCCCGTGAAGGGCGGGTTTTGAGGGTAGTGAGTCAGTCTAAGTAAACAAGAGCTTTGAGTCTGGCGTTCCCCGGTTTGCTTCTGCCCCCTGGAGGAAGGAATACTCCATGACATGAGTCTTCAAAAGAAGAATTTGGAATAAAACAGTAGTGATGGACCTGGGTACCTAGTCTGGATTCTCTCATTGTTCAGTCTTGTGTTCCAGCCTGAGCACAGTACTGGGTATGGAAAGCTTGCCTACAGCTGCTGAGGTGAAGGCCAGTGGGGTAGTCTGGTGGACCTTTTCTACCACGCTGAGATCATGTGAGGATGAGTGAGCTATTTCATAGGTTATCAGCAACCTGTGTATCATGTACTTCATTTCCCTCATAACATTTATTTATCATCGGGCTTTAAGGAGATTAGCACCTCCCTTATATCTTTCCATTATTATGTGACATCTAGTTTTGGTGTGGTTTTTTTACCTTTACCTGTGGGCCGGACATAAAAGTACATAGCCTAACTATACCTTTAATTAGTGACTATTATGATTCCCTTCTCTTGACTTATCTGGTGAATTATTTATCAAATAATGTGTGCAAATAACCCCAAAATTTAGTGGCTTAAAACAACAATGTTAATTTATTTATATCTCTCACAATTTCTGTGGAGCAGGAGTTTAGGAGTAGCTTAGTTGGGCTTTTCCAGCCCAGAGTCTCTTGGTAGATGGTGGTCAGATTTCCGATGGGGTCATCCCAAAGCTTGACTGAGATTGGAGGATCCTCTCAGGTGGCTCCCTCATGTAGCTGGGAAGTTGGTGCAGCCCTTATTTCTTCATGGCTTCTCCACAGAACTGCTTGAGTGTTCTCATGACCGGGTAGTTGGCTTTCTCCAGAGTGAGCTGTTTAAAAGAGAGAAAGAGCCAGGTAGAGGCTGCATCCTTTTTATGATCCAGGTTTGGAAGTCATATAGTATCCCTTCTGCCACATTCATTAGAAATAAGTTAACAAGTGTCGCCCACATTCAAGGGGAGGGGAATTACACTTTTTAAGGAAAGAGTATCAAATAATTTGAGGACACATTTAAAACTGCCATTTCTAGTAGATGTGGGGCCACAATCAAACCTAGCTCTCCTGAGTGGAAAGTTCTACTAGACCCAATGTGAACATATCCAGGTACTTTCCACAGCCTGGGTGAATTAAACTCAGAGCATCCAAGCTAGCTCTTGTGTGTCTGGTGGCCAGTTATTCCAGCTTTTTGTTTACCCAAGGCTGTGTTTCTTTTCCTACCCTTCTCTCCCTATTTCCTGCTGAGAAGCCAGAAGAGAAATTGTAATAACTACTTTCACTTTTATAGTTTATTAGTGTTGGTAAAGTTTGCAGGGCAAGAAGGTTGAAACTACTGGTTGAAGCTGTGAGTCTCTGAATTTTTGTGACTATTCAGACTTCATATTGTTCCCATTTAATATAGAGAGTTGAGACTTTGTGGCAAACAGTTATGTGGTAATTTCAGGGGAATGACTTACATCCCCTTTCTGTGATGCCTACGCTGGTATAAGATGGGGCCTTTTTGTTCCTTGGTAGAAGTTTTATCTTTTAGATAGATAGATCTATCTATCTAGATACTTCTAGAAGTATACTTCTAATAAGAAGTTCTAATTACTGTTATGTTGTTTGGTTTGGGGTGAGTGCAGTTGTAGACTTCTGGAAGACCACACCCTAGGGAATGAAGAGAGGTGGGTACATAGTCATGAGGAATAGAAAGAAATCCAGAAATTTGGCTAAGAGTAAGGGTAACTATCTGAATTGAAAGATGCCTGTTTAGCTTAGGGCAAACAGTTTTTCTGCTCTGCAGATGAACTAAAAAGTGGAGGCATCTTTCAGACAAGGAACAGAAACTTAGTGGGTGGCTCAAAAGGATGTGGCATTTTTTTTAATGAGGAAGAGAAAGACATCTCTCTTTGCTGTTAGAAAAATATAACTAATAAGGAGACTGTATTTATTTCTCTGATACGGGCAAACTAAACAGATGGGGAAAAAATAGACTGGGGAAGATTTCCACAGTTCCAAGACTACAGAAACTTTGAAAAGATGGATAAAATATTCTTTTTTAAAAAAAGGGGGAATAGGAACTACTTTCTATTGAGCTTTATTTGTATTACCTCATTTAATCCTCATAGCATGCTCACAGGGTGGGTATCATCACTTCCATTTAAAGCTAAGGAGACCCACTTCTTTAAGGTCATGCTGCCCGTTGGTGTGGTAAGGTCAGTGTAAGAAGGCAGGCCTGTCTGACATAAAGTCTGACTTTTCCACTGACTTACACTGCTTCTGCAGGCAAGGGCAATCCAGGATTCCTGGAAACTGGGAGAAGGATCTGTGCGGGCACTGGAGGGAATCTTGGCCAAGGACGCCCACTGCTCAGTTGGAGGTTACACTGGGAAGCAGGTCTAAGAGGAACTGGGGAGTCTGGAAATGGTCACAACTCGGATGTAGTTGTGGGCCTCTGTATCAGCCCAGAGCCCACGGAGAGGAGGGAACTCATGCCCCGTGCCATCCTTTTTGCAGCCATTTGGGTCTAGATTTGAGTCTGTGCCATGCAAATGCCTCTATTCCTACATACTTGTGTGTTATTTTAAGAAAGAGCCTTTTGAAAAATCCCCACCTTTGTTTTGAAGAGAAAAGGTTTTGTTCTCCCCTTGGTTGCATCGGACTAGAAGTAGGCCCAGTCTGTGCCTGTGGCCAGATGTGGTAGTAGCTTTAGGCAGGGAATGTGGTATAATAGGGGACAGTGAGAATTGGGGGACATGAATGTCGCATGTTTCAGGTTGATTCTCTCCTGACCCATGCTCAGGTCCTTCACGACCTCAAAATACAACATAAGAGCAGAAACGGATAAGTAGTGGAGATCAGACTGTGCTTAGGACTGCTATCCAGTACCTCTTAAACTTTTCTAACCCTAGTGTTGTTTTCCATGTGTGTTTATTTTATCCAGAGTTTCTTCGGGACACTTTTACTTCCTTGGGCTATGAAGTCCAGTATTTTTTGTACCTGAAAATGGACAGTATAATTGATATTCTTCGCCGAGTTGCCTGCATGCCCCAACACCAAGACTACGACAGCTTTGTGTGTGTCCTGGTGAGCCGAGGTGGCTCCCACAGCGTGTTTGGCGTGGATCAGTCACAGCCAGGGTTCCCTTTGGATCAGATAAGGAAGATGTTCATGGGAGATGCATGCCCTTCTCTCTTAGGGAAGCCAAAGCTCTTTTTTATTCAGAACTATGTGGTGTCAGAGGGCCAGCTAGACAGCAGCAGCTTACTGGAGGTGGATGGGCCAGCAGTGAACAATGTGGAGTCCAAGGCCAGGCAGCCTGGGCCCTGCACCATCCACCGAGAAGCTGACTTCCTCTGGAGCCTGTGCATGGCGGATGTGTCCCTGTTGGAACGGTCTTCCAGCTCACCGTCGCTGTACCTGCAGTATCTTTCCCAGAAACTGGGGCAAGAAAGGTGAGCCATCTGGCCGTGGCCCATGCCCAGACCACTTGTTTGTTCTCTTGCTGCCAAGATGGAGACATGGAGATTACCACTGTGCCATATTTGATGCTCTTCTCTTCAGGGAGAAAAGGATTTTTCATTCCTTGCTGGGGTTGCCTTAGGAAGGATGCACATTTTATGAAAGCTTTGTGCCTCAGGAGGTCACTTGTTAGTCAGCTTGTAGTTTGGATATTGTTCTTCAAAATAAAGAAATTTTTAATTGTTTTTATAAATTACAAAAGCAGTACATAGTCCTTATTGAAAAAAACTCCATGAAATACAAATGCTGAAAACAGAATAAAATAAAGTTATAATTCTACTTATTAGAACCAATCTCTGTTAGCCAAGTCTTGGTGTATTGCCTTCCAGAGCTTTTTTTGACACCCACACAATCATATATAAATATGTTTTTTAAAACCAAAATGGAATCTGCCATTACTTTGTAACCTGCTTTTACTTGGTGTAACGGTATATCACATATAGTTTTACATGTCACTAGTCACATTTCTAAGCATCATTTTAAACTTAAAAAAATGTTTATTTATTTTTGAGACAGAGAGCATGAGCAGGGGAGGGGCAGAGACAGGGAGACACAGAATCTGAAGCAGGTTCCAGGCTCTGAGCTGTCAGGACAGAGCCTGACACGGGGCTCAAACTCACAAACTGTGAGATCATGACCTGAGCCGAAGTCAGACACTTAACTGACTGAGTCACCCAGATGCCCCTCTAAGCATCATTTTATTGTCTGTGGAACCATCCACAATAGGATTCTGGCATAAGTTACTTGACCAGTTTTCAGTCATTGGAAGGTGTTTTGCTTTCATAAAAGGAAAGTGTTCAATATCTTTGTAGCTCAGTATTTGTGCTTATTTTTACTGTTTTCTTGAGGAAAATACCCAGGAGAAGAATTACTGTGTTCAGCAACATGCATTTTTAAAGGCTTGGATGCATTTTATCAGATTATCCTCTCAGACGGTAATACCTGCTTTGCATGAAATCGCCAGTGTCCCCAAACTCTGTCCGATACTGCATGTTTTTTTATTTCCCCTTTTTGACAGTTTGATAAGTGAAAAATGGTACCTGACTCTTCAAGTTTACGAGTCTTCATTTACAGACATTTCTGACGTTTATTGGCAAGAATACTTTTCTAAGAGAAACTTTGGTGATCTGGTTTTCATTTAAGCTGAATGCAGCCACACTGTACTTCCCTGTAAGATTAACAATCCTTTTTCAGCTGTTCCCCCCTTACAGTTTAGAATGATGTTTCTGAGCCATGTGTGAAATGCATTCTGTTGTGTCTCTGGAGACCCCAGGAATACATATTATCACCTGTGACTCCCCAGCCCCCTCAGGAGTGGCTCAGCAGCAAGGAGTGGGCTGTAGTAGGGATGACTCAGCCTTCCAAGGTAGACATTTCATGGACCAGCAGTATTCATGGTCTTTTACATCTGTTCTGGATTTGCATAGATGATCCAGCTGGGTTATCATCTGACTGAAGTGTCCCCAGAATATGACTCATTTGCCTCTGGGTGAGGGTCATTGGGCCAGAGTGTTGCAGGCTGGTCTGGCTCACTCACTAAGTAGCTTGTAGAGCGTTTAGAAAGGAACAATTTCAAAGCACCTTCACATCTGTTGCCTCATTTCACCCAAATGACGGTCTGTCTCCTCTTTGATATTTGCATGGCATCAATTTTTGCCTTTCTCTTTCCCTCCAGAAGACGCCCAGTCTTGGAACTCCACATTGAACTCAACAGCAGTGTGTATGATTGGAACAGCAGAGTGTCTGCTAAGGAGAGGTACTACGTCTGGCTGCAGCACACTCTGAGAAAGAAACTCATCCTCTCTTGCACATGAAAAGCCAAAAGACTTTCTTAGGTCTGCAATCTCCATCACTAGCCCCAAGTAGTTTTCAAGCAAATATTACCCATCACGTGGGTAAGATGGGGTCCTGTTATGGGCTGAAATGAACCTCTGTGAGGAATGTTACCAGGAAGGTGTGTTTGAACTAAAGCTTCTGGGTTGACAGCTTTGGCCTCTGTGGCTGAAAGCTTGCAAAACAGTGCTGGGAAGGAAATGGCTTTGAAACTTTATTATTATTTTTTTAATGTTTATTTATATTTGAGAGAGAGAGAGAGAGACAGTATGTGAGCAGGAGAAGGGTAGAGAGACAGAGACAGAATCTAAAGCAGGCTCTAGACTCGGAGCTGTCAGCATAGAGCCTGATGCAGGGCTCGAACTCGCACACCAGGAGATCATGACCTTAGATGAAGTTGAACACTTAACCAACTGAGCCACCCAGGTACTCTGGCTTTGAACTTTAAAAAGCAAGTACTCATGATTATGTTACCTTCCATTGTGCAGTCAAGTAAACCAGAGCCATGGATATAAGGTTGCAGTCACACAGTCAATTAGCCTGTGTGTATCCATGCTCCGAGAATAAAAGTAAAATAAAAAACCAAAATAATGAGGGATGCCTGGGTAGCTCAATTGATTGAACATCTAACTCTTGATTTTGGCCCAGGTCATGATCCCAGGGTTGTGGGATCAAGTCCTGCATCGTATGCTAAGTGTGGAGCCTGCTTAAGATTCTCTCTTTCTGACAGGCACCTTTGTGGCTCAGTCGGTTAAGTGTCTGACTTAGGTCACTGGTCTCACCATTCATGGGTTCAAGCCCTGTGTCGGGCTCTGTGCTGACATCTCAGAGCCTGGAGCCTGCTTCAGATTCTGTGTCTCCCTCTCTCTCTACCCCTCCCGAGTTCATGCTTTATCTCTCAAAAGTGAGTAAACATTTAAAAAAAAAAAAAAAGATTCTCTCTTTCTGAGTATCCAATGGAAAAAAGACAGACTCTTTAGCAAATGGTGCTGGGAGAACTGGACAGCAACATGCAGAATGAAACCGAATCACTTTCTTACACCATACACAAAAATAAATTCAAAATAAATGAAAGACCTAAATGTGAGACAGGAAACCATCAAAATCCTAGAGGAGAAAACAACCAACAACATCTTTGACCTCGGCCCCAGCAACTTTTTACATGACATGTCTCTGAAGGCAAGAGAAACAAAAGCAAAAGTGAACTATTGGGACCCCATCAAGATAAAAATCTAAAAGGCCAGTGGAATGGGAAAAGATATTTGCAAATGACATATCAGATAAAAGGGAAGTATCCAAAATATAAAAAGAACTTAAACTCAACACCCAAAAAACAAAAAATCCAGTGAAGAAATGGGCAGAAGACATGAAGAGACGTTTTTCTAAAGAAGACATCCAGATGGCACATGAAAATATGCTCAATATCACTTATCATCAGGGAAATACAAATCAAAACTATATTGAGATACCACCTCACATGGGTCAGAGTGGCTAAAAATAGCACCTCGGGCAACAACAGATGTTGGCGAGGATGTGGAGAAAGGGGGAAATCTCCTGCATGGTTGGTGGGAATGCAAACTGATGCAGCCACTCGGGAAAACAGTGTGGAGGTTCCTCAAAAAATTAAGAATAGCTTACCCTGTGACCCAACAATAGTACTACTAGGAATTTATCCAAAGGATATGGGAGTGATGGTTCATATGGCCAAATGTACCCCAATGTTTGTAGCAGTGCTTTCAAAAATAGCCAACTTATGAAAAGAGCCCAAATGTCTATCGACTGATGAATGGATAAAGAAGATATGGTCATATAAATATATATTTAATGGATTTAATTATATATATATATATATAATGGAATTGTCTACAATGCAATACTACTTGGTGATGAAAAAGAATGAAATCTTCCATTTGCAGCAGCATGGATGAAACTGGAGGGTATTATGCTAAGTGAAATAAGTCAGTCAGAGAAAGTCAGGTGTATGATTTCACTCATATGTGGAATTTGCGAAACTTTACAGAAGACCATAGGGGAAGGGAAGGAAAAATAAGTTCTGAACAGAGAGAGAGGCAAACAATAAAAGACTCTTCAATACAGAAAACAAACTGAAGGTTGATGGGGGTAGGAGGTTGAGGGGGCAGGGAAAATGGGAGATGGATACTGAGGACGGAACTTGTTGGGAAGAGCACTCCAGGTTGTATGTAAGAGATGAGTCACAGGAATCTACTCTTGAAAACATTGTATGTTAGCTAACTTGACAATCAATTATTAAAATAAAAAACTAAAATAAAATAATTCTCCAAAAAACAGATTCTTTCTCTCCCTCTATCCCTCTCCCCTGCTTATGTACTCTCTCTCTGTGAAACAAAAACAGAAACAATGAAACATAACAAACACTTATAATCTTACCTACCACATACAACCACAGTTAACTTGCAAATTTTTTTCTGTGTACAAGATCTGGATGTTAAGTCAGAGTGGCTGTCTTACTCTGTTCAGGCTACTATGACAAAGTACTAGAGACTAGATGGCTTAAAGAATACTTATTTCTCACAGTTCTAGAGACTAGGGAGTCCAAGATCAAGGTGCTGACACATCTGGTGTCTGGTGAGGACCTGCCTCTGGGTCTGCTAAATGGCCATCTTCTCATGGTGCCCTCACATGGCAAACAGCAGAGACAAGAAGCAGACTGTCTTGTGATAGCTCTACCTTTATGACCTAATCACCCCAAACACCCTGCCTGCTAATATCATCACACTGAGGGGTAGAGTTTCAACCTATGAATATGGTGAGGTACACAAACATTCAGACCGTAATAGTGGCTTTATAATTTGAGATTTCCTTGTCTGTCTAGATCCCAAGTGACATTTTACAGCAAATACCTTTCTTTCTCAGATTAATGACGTGACCTAAAAAGAGATCATTATGTAAAATATAATTTAAGGGGTGCCTAAGTGGCTCAGTTGGTTAAGCATTCGACCGGCTCAGGTCATGATCTTGCAGGTTCGTGAGTTTGAGCCCTTCCTTGGGCTCTTTGCTGATAGCTTGTAGCTTGGAGTCTCCTTCAGATTCGGTGTCTTCCCTTCTCTCTGTCCTTCCCCCACACACTCTCTCTTTCTCAAAAATGAATAAACAGTAAAAAATTTTTAAATTTTAAAGTTATTTATTTAAAAATTTTTTAAAGTTTATTTATTTATTTTGAGAGAGACAGAGAGGGCAAAATCTGGGAAAGGGCAGAGAGAGAGGGAGACAAAGAGAATCCCAAGCAGGTTCCACACCGTCAACAAAGAAAATCCCAAGCAGGTTCCGCACTGTCAATGAGGGAGCCCACACGAGGCTTGAACTCATGAAATGTGAGATCATGACCTGAGCTGAAGTCAAGAGTCAGACCCTTAACCGACTGAAGCCATTCAGACACCCCTCATTTAAAATTTTAAAAAATATATATTTATTTTAATATTTTTTTACTTGGTTTTAAATGGTGTGTATCTCTTATGTGTATGTTTGTGTGTGTTTTGCTGTGACCAGTCAGCAAGACTGAAAAGGATGAAAGGAGTATTCAGACCGTTCATAAGCAGTTATTTCTGCTTTTTGTTTTAATGAGTGCAGAACGCCTGAGGATACCTTTGCATGTAACATTGTTGAGAGGCATCTGCAAGAATAATGTACATCTCCGTCCTCATGAACCAGAACCTTGTGTTAATTAACAGAAAGAACCTACGAGGCATCTTAATGACCTGGCAGCTTTGGCATCCTTTTCTGTTCCATCCAGACCAGGTGATAAGCGTTTCCCACTTATTCTGCTTCTTATCATATGCTGGAAGAGCACACATTTTTTACTTTTATTTCCTCCTTACTTTTGAGATGGGATCATCCCAAGTAACTTACCTCAAAATACTATGTATAGTCTACGATTCAGGACTTGAAGTTTAAGACTTAGTGTGCCATTCAGGTTGTTTTACCTGAGTCTGTCATCCAATTGGATTAGCTGTTTTTAGAGTTAGACTTTATTCATCATTATTTGAGATCTACAAATGGTTGGTTTTGACTTTGGCCAGCAGATATGTTGTGATTTTTTTGTAACCTCGTTTCTTCTATGTATTCTTTTTTTTTTTTTAACAAATAGTTTATTGTCAAGTTGGTATACATATAACACCCAGTGCTCATCCCCATAAGTGCGCTCCTCCATGCCCATCTCCCCCCTCCCCCCACACCCATCAGTCCTCAGTTTGTTCTCAGTATTCAAGAGCCTCTCATGGTTTGCCTCTCCTCCCTCTCCTCCACTATTTCTCCCCTTTTTCATCCCCATTGTCCTCCGTTAAGTTCCTCCTAATCCTCCTATACGTGCAAACATAAGGTATTTGTTCTACAATGCTTGACTTATTTCGTTCAGCATAACACCCTCAAGGTCCATCCACGTTGCTACACATGGCCAGATTTCATTCTTTCTCATTGCCATGTAGTATTCCATCGTATAGATAAACCACATCTTCTTGATCCATTCATCCGTTGATGAGCACTTAGGCCTTTCCATGTTTTGGCTATTGTTGAGAGTGCTGCTATGAACATTGGGGTACATGTGCCCCTATGTATCAGCATTCCTATATCCTTTGGGTAAATTCCTAGCAGTGCTGTTGCTGGGTCATAGGGGAGTTCTCTTATTAATTTTTTGAGGAACCTCCACACTGTTTTCCAGAGGGGCTGTACCAGTTTACATTCCCACCAACAGTGTAGGAGGGTGCCCATTTCTCCACATCCTCGCCAGCATCTAGAGTTCTCTGATTTGCTCATTTTAGCCACTTTGACTGGCATGAGGTGGTATCTCAGTGTGGTTTTGATTTGTATTTCCCTGATGAGGAGGGATGCTGAGCATCGTTTCATGGGTCTGTTGGTCATCTGGATGTCCTCTTTGGAGAAGTGTCTGTTCATATCTTCTGCCCATTTCTTTACTGGGTTGTTTGTTTTTCGGGTATGGAGTTTGATGAGTTCCTTATAGATTTTGGATATTAACCCTTTATCTAATATGTCATTTGCAACTATCTTTTCCCATTCCATTGGTTGTCTGTTAGTTTTATGGATTGTTTCCTTTGCCACGCAGAAGCTTTTCATCTTGATGAGGTCCCTATAGTTAATTTTTGCTCTTGATTCCCTTGCTTTGGGGATGTGTCAAGTAAGAAGTTGCTACAGTGGAGGTCAAGGAGGTTGTTTCCTGCTTTCTCCTCTAGGGTTTTGATGGTCTCCTGGTTCAGGTCCTTTATACATTTTGAGTTTATTTGTGTGTATGGTGTGAGAAAATGATCTAGTTTCATTCTTCTGCATGTTACAGATCTCTTGTATCCTTGGTTAGGTTTATTCCTAGGTATTTTGTGGTTTTTTGTGCAATTGTGAATGGGATCAGTTTCTTGATTTCTCTTTCTGTTGCTTCATTATTGGTGTATAAAAATGCAACCGATTTCTGTACATTGATTTTGTACCCTGCGACTTTGCTGAATTCATGGATCAGTTCTAGTAGGCTTATGGTGGAGTCTGTCAGGTTTTCTATGTAGAGTATCATGTCGTCTGCGAAAAGTGAAAGTTTGACTTCTTCTTTGCCAATTCTGATGCCTTTGATTTCCTTTTGTTGTCTGATGGCTGATGCTAGGACTTCCAGCACTATGTTAAACAATAGTGGTGAGAGTGGACTTCCATGTCGTGTTCCTGATCTCAGGGAGAAAGCTCTCAGTTTTTCCCCGTTGAGGATGATGTTAGCTGAGGGCTTCTCATAGATGGCTTTTATGATGTTTAAGTAAGTTCCTTCTATCCTGACTTTCTCTAGAGTCTTTATTAGGAAGGGATGCTGCATTTTGTCAAATGCTTTTTTCTGCATCTATCAAGAGGATCCTATGGTTTTTATCTTTTCTTTTGCTGATGTGATGTATCACATTGATTTGCGAATATTGAACCAGCCCTGTAACCCAGGAATGAATCCCACTAGATCTTGGTGGATAATTCTTTTTATGTGTTGTTGGATTCGACTTGCAAGTATCTTGTTGAGGATTTTTGCATCTGTATTCATCAAGGATATTGGCCTGTAGTTCTCTTTTTTGGCTGGCTCTCTGTCTGGCTTGGGAATCAGAGTGATACTGGTTTCATAAAATGAGTCCGGGAGTTTTCCTTCGATTTCTATTTTTTGAAATAGCTTGAGAAGAATTGATATTAATTCTGTTTTAAACATCTGGTAGAATTCCCCAGAGAAGACTTCAGGTCCAGAGCTCTTATTTGTTGGGGGATTTTTTTTTTTTAATTTTTATTTATTTCTCAGAGAGAGAGACAGCGTGAGCAGGGGAGGGTCAGAGAGAGAGGGAGTCACAGACTGAAACAGGCTCCAGGCTCTGAGCTGGCAGTCAGCACAGAGCCCGATGCGAGGCTCGAACCCACGAACCGCGAGATCATGACCTAAGCGAAAGTCGGACGCTTAACCGACTAAGCCACCCAGGCGTCCCTGTTGGGGGATTTTTGATAACTGATTCGATTTCTTCACTAGTTTTGTGTCTGTTCAGATTTTCTATCTTTCCCGTGTGAATTTTGGTAGTGAGAGTGTGTTTAGGAATTTGTTCATTTCTTCTAAGGTGTCCAGTTTGTTGGCATATAATTGTTCATAGTATTCCCTGATAATTGCTTGTATTCTGAGGGGTTGGTTGTAATAAGTCCATTTTCATTCATGATTTTATCTGTTTTCTTTTTGTGAAGCCTGGCTAGAGGTTTGTCAATTTTGTTTATTTTTTCAAAAAACCAACTCTAGGTTTCATTGATCTGTTCAATTGTTTCTGATTTTTACTATTTCTCTTCTTCTACTGGGTTTGGGGTGCTCTTGTTGCCCTGCCTCTAGTTCCTTTAGGCGAGCTGTTAGATTTTGGATTTGTGCTTTTTCTAATTTCTTGTAATAGGCCTGGACTGCAGTGTACTTTCCTCTTAGGACTACCTTTGCCGCGTCCCATAGATTTTGGATTGTTGTGTTTTCATTTTCATTTGTTTCCATATATTTTTAAATTTCTTCTCTAATTGCCTGATTGGCCCATTCATTCTTTAGTAGGGTGTTCTTTAACTTCTATGTTTTTGGAGGTTTTCCAGATTTCTTCCTGTGATTGATTTCAAGTTTCAAAGCATTATGATTTGACAGTGTGCATGGTATGATCTCAATTCTTTTATATTTATTGAGGGCTGCTTTATGTCCCAGTATGTGATCTATCTTGGAGAATGTGCCATGCGCACTTGAGAAGAAAGTGAATTCCCTGGCCTCAGGATGTAGAGTTCTAAATATATCTGTCAGATCCATCTGGTCCAATGTTTCAAGTCCATTGTTTCTTTAGTGATTTTCCGTCTGGTTGACCTATCCATTGCTGTAAGCGGAGTATTAAAGTCCCCTGCTATTAGCACATTCTTATCTATAAGATTGTTTCTGTTTGTGATTAATTGTTTTAAATATTTAGGTGCTCCCATATTCGGTGCATAGACATTTAGGATTGTTAGTTCTTCCTGATGGATAGACCCTGTAAATATTATATAATGCCTTTCTTCATCTCTTGTTATTGTCTTTAATTTAAAGTCCAGTTTGTCTGATATAAGTATAGCTGCTCCGACTTTCTTTTGATTTCCAGTAGCATGATATATATTTCTCCATCCCCTTACTTTTAATTAATAAGGTATCTTCCAGTCTAAAATGAGTTTCTTATAGACAGCAAATAGATGGATTTTGTTTTTTTATCCATTCTGCTACCCTATGTCTTTTGATTGGAGCATTCAGCCCATTTACATTCAGTGTTATTGTTGAAATATGTGGGTTTAGAGTCTTTGTGTCCTTTGTGGGGTTTATGCCTGTGGTGGTGTCTCTCGTATCTTGCGTTCCTTGCAACACTTCCCTCAGAGCGTCCCCCTCAGCATTTCTTGTAGGGCTGGCTTAGTGGTGACAAATTCTTTCAATTTCTGTTTATTTGGAAAGACTTTTATATCTCCTTCTATTTTGAATGACAGGCTTGCTGGATAGAGGATTCTTGGCTGCAAATTTTTTCTGATCATCACATTGAAGATTTCCTGCCATTCCTTTCTGGCCTGCCAAGTTTCAGGAGATAGGTCTGTCACCACTCTGATAGGTTTCCCTTTGGATGTTAGGGCCCTTTTCTCCCTAGCTGCTTTCAAAATTCTCTCTTTGTCCTTATATTTTGCCATTTTTACTACGATATGCCACGCAGAAGATCGATTGAAATTACGTCTGAGGGGAGTTCTCTGTGCCTCTTGTATTTCAAAGTTTACTTCCTTTCCCAGGTTGGGGAAGTTCTCTGCTATAATTTGTTCCAGGACTCCTTCAGCACCTTTCCCTCTCTCTTCCTCTTCTGGGATTCCTATGATATGGATATTATTGCGTTTAACCATATCGCTGAGCTCTCGAACCATGTTCCTGGTTCAGTTTGTCTCTTTTGTTATGTTTCTTGTTTTTCTATAATGGTGTCTTCTAAATCACTTATTCTCCTTTCTGCCTCTTCAGTCCGTGCATTGGATGCCTCCAATATATTATGTATCTCATTTATCGCATTTTTTAATTCATCATGTCTATTTTTATGCTCCATGCTGTTTGTAGCCATAGTTTCTTTGATGTCTTCTATTCTTTTTTCAAGCCCAGCGATTAATTTTATGATTACTGTTGTAAAATCTTGTTCAGTTATGCTGCTTATATCTGTTTTGAGCAGTTCTTTAGCTGTCAATTCTTCTTGGAATTTCTTTGGAATTTCCTTTCATCATTTTGGTTAGCTTTCTATCTCTTGTTAGTTTTAAAAACTTTTTATGCTCTCTGCACCTGTGAGCGCTCTTGTACCCAAGAGACTCTTTGACTGTCCAGGGCCTATCCTTTCAGAAAATGTTTTTTGAATGGTATCTCTTGGTCTCTCCTGTTGAGACCTTAGTTATTTTATTTTCTGTTATTCTTATAGATAATGTAGTGGTATTTGGGACTTTCCACCATGTGTACTTTGGCTTGTTTGTTGAGGAAGCCCTGGAGAAGAAAACAGACAGACAAAGACACAGGGAGCAGAGGCACACTAATGCACAGACAAATCCAACTAACATGCAAACCGAGAGGGAAAACGAAAAAGTTAAGAGAAAAGATGGAGGAGGGAAGGCAAATAATAGAAAATAAAAAATACAAAAAAAGTCAAAAAGAAGAAAAGAAAAGGAAAAAAGAAGAAAACCGATGGACAAAGAACAGTTTAAAGCATATAACCAGATTTCCCAGCTGCAATTAAATAGCCGGGTGTATGTAGTGCTGGTTGAAGAGCATAGAGAAAGAGAGAGACAGGGCGGGGATGAGGCAAAATTGGAAATAGATGAACAGGCAGAAGGGATAAAAAGCTTTTTTCAAAGAGCTAAAGGGTGGAATATGGTTGGAGAGGTGAGAGAAGGACGCTGGTGTTATCCAGAGAAACTATACAGTCTAATTACTCCTGAGAGAATGAGATGAAAAGGTAGGTAGGTGTAGAATTTACATCTACAGAATGGACTAAATGCGACTGTTTAAGCAAGTCGGTGACCAGAATTAATCAGGTCAGTGTTTCGGAAAAAAGAGAAAAAAGAAAAAAAGAGGAGGGCAGCTCTCTAGCAGTGATGAGCGTGGTTTGATCCAATGTGTCAGGCAGGAGTTCTGCCTTGGTAGTTGTGGGTAGGAGAATGGTGGTGCTCCAGTCCCTTATTGAACCAAGCGCTGCACCTCACTTTTTGGGTGTGTAAACTCCCCATGCCGGGGGCACAGCCAAAGTGGGTCGCGCTCTTTAACCCAGGCCAGGCCTAGTTTCCAAATCCCAGTCCGCGCGCCCCACTGAAATTGCCGTTGTCACCACCTCGCAGGCAATCCCTTCAGGGCGATTCCAAGCCTCTTGCCTAGCCCTGGGGATGGAGCCAGAATCGCCGCTCCCTTCTCCTCCGGGTCGGGTTGGCGAGCAAGGACAGTGGTTTGCCTGGGGGGGTGCCTCAGGTGCGCTGGAGAGGGGGAAACCGGGTCCCTCTGTGTCTCATCACCCAAATCACGAACTCGTGGGCAAATCTCCCAGTTTTAAGCCCTTCACCTCCCCTCTAGGGATCCAGCCGAGCCAGGAGCACGAAGGAGCGGTCGGCGTGCAGCCCTTCTAGGACGAGTTGGTGCGTGGGGATTTGGCGCCCACGATCCTTCTGTGCCCCGAGTGGAGGTTTTTCTGTTCCCCAGTGACAGGAACCGTGTCTTGAGTAGTTTCAGCCTCTCTCTTTCCCCTCTCACTCCCCGCAGAGGGGGATCGCCCCCGTCCCTCTGAGTCTCTGATCCCGGCCCGATTTTATCTTCCCCAGTTCACACTCACCGTTAGAAGGCTTTCTCAGTGTGTTCTGCGTCCTTTTTCTCCCAATCTCTTGGATTCTGTCTCTTCTATGTATTCTTGTTATAGTCTAATTTCTATTTTTATTTTGAAATAAAAAGTAGTAATATGATATCTTGTATTCTATTGAGGATTCAATTTTGAAAATCTTTTACATTAACGTGTGCCTTCTTGATGAACTATTGTATCATTCAAAATGTCTAGATGCAAGTAATGAGAGACCTAATAACTAACAACAAAAATATCAAGTTTTTTGTTTGTTTGTTTGTTTATGCTCATTAAGCAAAAGGTCCAGAGATAGGGGTATAGTTTCTGGCTTGGTTAAGTCACTGATTCAATGATGTCATCAGGACTTGGTGCTTTCTATCTGTCCTCTCTGTACTTTCTGTATTTTGCCTTTTATTTTCAGATTTGTCATCTAATGACTGCAAGATGGCTACAGGTCCAAATCGCACCCAAATGACAGAAGAGAAAACACATCTTCTTTGTGTTCCTTCTTAAGAGCAAAGGAAAATTTCCCTAGAAGCCTTCCTCCCCAATTGTTTCTTTTCCTTACTTCTCATTGGCTAGAATTACATGACATGCCTATTCTTAAACCAGTATTTGGCAGAGGGAATAGGATCACCATGGCTGGTTTATACAAGCCCAGCTTCAATCTACTGGGCTGGAGAGGGGTTCAGCTCCCATGAGGCACACGGTCTCCAAAATGAAAAAGTGGAGCATGGAGTGACTCTGTGGATAGCCAACCATAATGCATGCCAAAAGAATGAGAACATCCATTTTATGATCAAAGAAACCGAGGCACACAGTTTTTAAATGGCTTTTTCCCAAACCTTGGAAAAAACAAACAAACCAACCAGTGGTAGTGCTAGATCTAGAATGTTCACCACTAGCCTATCATCTGGTGTTCTTTAGAAATTACACAAACATTGGAAATGCGTAGCATCATTTCAGAGAAGGCATCGTACTCCTCTCTGCTGTTTATGAGAGTCATTATTTTACCTTTCCAGCCTCTATCCTCTCCCCACAGACAGGTGGCATGGCCACGTATCTTCCCTTATCCCACCTTCCTGGCATGGTGAAAATATAGAGCTTGGCAAATAAGCATCTTTTCTTTCCTAACTTCTCTTTCCCTTCCATCTTTTTAAACAATAATTTATTAGATTATACTTTGTCATCTGTTTACTTTTACCCCTTTGCCTTTTTTGTCTTTGTATAACATTATTCTTAACACAACCAATCCCTAGGTCCCAAAGAGAAGAATGCTAAGTGTTTGCTTGGGTGTTTTGCTCACTGGCAAGTAGTCTGGGTTGGAGTAAAGAGGGATTATGATTTCAGGCCTAGGCTGACAAAATGATAGGAATAATGCCTTGCCTTCCCTTGCTTACTTAAATGAGAGAGCTCTTATGGGCATACCCACTGGGGGAGTCTATTCTTCCCTTCCCTCCCCACCCCCGACAAACCCTTGATAGGTATGTACAGGGCAGATCCAGCCATGGGGGATGTTCAGTCATCAAAGAAGATGTCTAGTCATGGGTGGATGTCCAGCCATGACTGCGAATGTCCAGCCCAGTCATGGGAGGTAGAATACATAATCATAGATGGAGATTTCCAGCTGTGGGTAATTGGTAGGATGTTCTGACATGGATGGAGATGTCTAGCCATAGGAAGATATCTATATGTTGGCAGAATGTCTAGCCATTGGTGGGGAACCAATGTCTAGCTATATATGGGAACATTCCACCATAATTAGGATGTTCAGTCATGGATGGGGCGTCCAGTAATGGAAAGAGGGTCAGCCAGGGGTTGATACTTAGCTATGATTGGGCATTCCAGCCATGAATAAAGGTGTCTGTCATCAGTTCAGCTAAACTGGAAAGAGTTGAGCTGACAGGTGTCAGGGTAGATTTCCTGGCTGTCACCTTGAAGCCCTTAGGGAAAGAGGAAGACAGGAGAGTACTTGGGCCACTTGAGCCTGATATGGCAGTCTGCCAATAAAGGACTTGTTATAACTGCTTTGGTGATGCCATGTGAAGATCACTATTACCATTATATCACACTATGGGGAACTTATTTTGGAAATATTGAATCAAACCTTGTAAAGTGTGTAGGATTTTGAGATGGAGGAGAGAATATGTTGTAGGTGAGGAGACAAAGCAAGTGAAGGGACAGGGGGAATGCAAGGCATGTTTTAGAAAATTTGACTGTAACTTTTAGCTGGCATAGAGAGAATGTGAGCAATGGTGAGTGCTGAGCCAGGAGGTGGCTATTGTTAGAGCATGGAGAGCCTTCAAAGCCCGCATCTTGGTCTGTTAGTTTTCATGGAAGTTATTTTTCTCACTTGAATAGTGGAGTCTATGACTTTTTCTTTGGTACTTTTGCATATGAGTATTTGATTACTAGAGGCATTTCTTATTCTTTTTCAGAGTATTTTAGTGAAATATTTTAGACATGCTAAAAGAGAATTATATTAGATAACAATATAATGAATACTCATGGTACCTACCACCTCATTTAAATAAAATGTTCTAAAATATATATGAAGACTCTTAAGATATTACTTTAATTATCTTAAAAATAAAAGAGATAAATGCATTAAAATATTTCAAACCTTATGATAGCCCCAAACTGAGAATTAGCTAAGTGTTCAGTAATAAGAATGTGCTTATGATGATATCTCCACTGATAGATATTTTATGTAACCATTAAAATTATGTTTATAAATAATAAGAGCTTACATCAAACTGTTATTAGCTCTTTTTAAAAATTTTTTAATGTTTATTTATTTGTGAGAAAGAGAGAGAGAGAGAGAGACAGAGTGCAAGTGAGGGAGGGGCAAAGAAAGAGGGAGACACAGAATCTGAAGCAGGAGCCAGGGTCTGAGCTGTCAGCACAGAGCCTGACTTGGGGCTCGAACCCACGAACCATGAGATCATGACCTGAGCTGAAGTCAGACACTTAACTGACTGAGCCAGCCAGGTGACCCTGTTATTAGCTCTTCACACAAATAGATAATTACACAAACAGATAAACACAAATAAATGAATTATCTCATTTAATCCTCAGAACAGCTGTATGAGGTAGGTATTATTGTTCTAATTATTTTTCCTCCCATTTCATAGATAAGGAAAATGAGCAAAGTGAATGTTAAGTAGCTTATCCATGATCATCCCATATAGGATATAAACTCAACCCATGAAGAGAGCTACTTTGGGGCCCAAATGCTTAACCAGTTCACAGTATTCTTGACAGAATATCATAATGAGAAAAATGCTTGTATACTCATGTTACCTGGAAAAGAGTACAAAATAGTATGTTTATGGTAACCATGCTTAAATAAAACAGAAAATACCTCCCATAGGAAAACAAAGTGCCAGAAATATTTACAAAGTGGCATATGGATGACAGAACTATGGCTGATATTATTTCTTCTATCTGTTTACCAAATTCTCACTTATATCTGTCTATGTATTTGAGAATATTGACTTTTGTACTATCTAGGTAATTCTTTTCAACTTTCAAGTAGTTGGTTCTTCATCACTAACAAAACTACCCTTCTCTTCTTACTTTTGTCCTTACTTCTCTGTCCCATCTCTAGCCCCTCCTTTCAGAAGTAGAACTCCTCGTCTCAGGGCTGCTTTTCTGAGATACTGGTTAGGACAATTGACTAGTCAACCCCTAGTTGACCAGTACTCCTATCCCTATTCTTTCTCCTGACCTCAACCCTGTTCTATCCCAGTCCCCAATCTCTTCAATCCTCTTTCATGAATAGACCATAGGAGGAGTCACTTGACACCCTCATCTATCTGTAATGTTTGATTTGAGAATCTCTTCTCCTCTGAGATTTTAGGAGCAAGTTTTCAGGATTAAGGATGTTATTTATACCATCAAGAGGTCAGAATTTGAGGCCAGCCTTGTCAATTTGGCTGTGTACAGACCCTGCTTGCTGTCTCCATATATTCATTTTCTTTTTCAGTAGAAACCTTGATTTGCAACTGGGCACAAAGCCTCACAGAAGATAGTCTACTTGTCCAAGCTTAAATTTGTAGCTAGATGTGGTCATGTGTCAAGGTCCTGGCCAATAAGATGTCAACAGTAGAATCATTTGGCAGCTGCTAGAACTTTCCTTAAAAAACAGTTGTTTATTCAGTATGATACTGGCACAAATCGATGAAACAGAATAAAGGGCCCAGAAACAAACCTATGATTATGTGGCCAATTAGTTTAAGACAAAGTAAGAGAGACTATGCAATGGGAAAAAGACAGTTTCTTCTACAAATGGTTTTGGGAAAAGTGGATACCTACATGCAAAAGAATGAAACTGAACCACTTTCCTATACCGTACACAAAAACAAAGTTAAAATGAATTAAGAACCTAAATATGAGACCTGAAACCATAAAAATCCTAGAGGAGAACACAGGTAGTATTTTCTCTGACATTGGCTATAGCAACATTTTTCTAGACATGTCTCCTGAGACAAGGGAAACAAAAGTGAAAATAAACTATTGGAACTACATCAAAATAAAATGCTTCTGAACAGTGAAGACAACAATTAACAAAACTAAAAGGCTACCAGAAGAATGGGAGAAGATATTTGCAAATAAGATATCTAATAAAGGGTTAGGATCCAAAATATATAAAGAATTTATATAACTCAACAGCCAAACACAATCTGATTAAAAATGAGCAGAATACATGAGCAGACATTTCTCCAGAGAAGACATACAGAAGGTCAACAGACATAAAAAGATGCTCAACATCATTGATCATCAGGGAAATGCAAATCAAAACCACAATGAAGTATCACCTCATACCTATCAGAATGGCTGAAATAAAAAAGAGAAGAAATAACAAATGTTGAAGAGGATGTGGAGAAAAAGGAACCCTCATGTACTGTTGATGGGAATGCAAACTGGTGCAGCTACTGTGGAAAACAGTATGGAGGTTCCTCAAAAAATTAAAAATAGAATTATCATATGATCCAGTAATTCCACTACTAAGTATTTACCTAAAGAATACAAGAACACTAATTCAAAAAGAGATATGCACCTCTATGTTTATTGCAGCATTATTTACAATAGCTAAATTATGGAAGCAATCCAAGTGTCCACTGACAAATGAATGGATAAAGAAGATGTGGCATATATATATATATATATATATATATATATATATATAAAACTCATTCATAAAGAGAGTGAAATCTTGCCATTTGCAACAACATAGATTGATTTACAGAGTAAAATGCTAAGTGAAATAAGTCAGTCAGAGAAAGACAAATACCATCTGAATTCACTCATATATGGAACTAAAGAAACAAAACAAACGAAGAAAAAAGAGACAACCCAAAAAACAAACTCTTAAAAGATTTTTTTAAATGTTTATTTATTTTTGAGAGACACAGAGAGAGCATGAGCAGGAGAGGGGAAGAGAAAAAGGGGAAGACATAGAATCCAAAGCAGGCTCTCAGCTCTGAGCTGTCAGCACAGAGCCAACACAGGGCTTGAACTCACAAGTTGCGAGATCATGACCTGAGCTGAGGTTGGATGCTTAACTGACTGAGTCACCCAGTTGCCCATCCCCCCACCAAAACAGACTCTTAAATACAGAGAACAAACTGATGGTTAACATAGGGGAAGGCGGGGGGGTGAAATAGGTGAAAGGAATTAAGAGTATACTTATGATGAGCACTGAGTAATATATAGAATTGTTGAATCACTATATTGTACACCTGAAACTAATATAACTCTGTATGTTAACTATACTAGAATTAAAATTTTAAGAAAGGCAGTTATTTTTTGCCCTTCACCTTTTTATCCCTTCTTCCATCTTGCTGACTAGGATGTGAATGTGATGGCTGGAGCTTTAACTTCCGTCTGGAACTATGAAGATAGCGGCCACACTGTAGGGATAGCTGAGTAGTGAGCAGAAAGGAGCCTTCTTGGATGAGGAGAGAGTCACTATACCAGCCCTAGTCTACCTACCTCTGGACTTTCATGTGAGAGAAAAAAATGTGGGGTTTATATTTATATATTTTTAACCTAACACAGTCCAACTGATCCATTATTATTTGACTAAAATGTTTAGAAGGCAAGAAGTTTCAAAGAAAAATTTGTCTGGATGATTATTTTAATTTTCTAATTATTTTTTAATGTTTGTTTACTTTTTAAAGAGAGAGAGACAGTATGAGCAAGGAAGAGGCAGAGAGAGAGAGAGGGAGAAAGTGTCCCAGGCAGTCTCCACACTGTCAGTGAACAACCTGATGTGGGGCTCAAACTCCTGAACCATGAGATCATGACCTGAACTGAAGTCAGACGCTTAATTGACTGAGTCTCACAGGCATCCTCTTTTGCTCATTTTTGAACTGAGTTGTTTGATTTTTTACTGGTGAATTTTAAGAGTTCTTTGTATATTTTGGATAGAAATCCTTTATAAGATACGTTTTACAAATATTTTCTCTCAGTCTATGGTAGAAGTTTTTAATTCTAAAAAATGAAGTTCTGTTATGCCCAGATCGCGAGACCCCCAAAGACCACCGAGGAGCCCATTCTGATGAAAGCACACGAGGGTCTTCATTCAAGCTCGAGCAGGGACTCCAACACACCCCGATGCAGCAGTGATGGTATGGAGCCCCGAACTCGTGATCGCAGGGCTTTTTATTATGGTTACTGTGGAATTCGGGGTGTTCCAGCTTGGCAGCCTCCTGATAGGTATAGGCTGTCTTGTCAGTACCTGATTGGTTCAGCCCATCTGGCCTGACCACAAACTGCCAACCGGAACGTCCTGGGACATAGGCACCTCTTTAAACTGATTGGCTGTTGCTGTTGTTAGGGAAGTAACTAAGGGCAGGCTGCCTACTTACTTCCTGCGGTTTTTCCTGGGACTGAGTTCAGGCCCAGTTCACTCTCAAGATGGAGGCTTTTTCTAAAATGGAGTCAGTTAGATTTAGGTCTCACATTCCCCCCTTTTCTTGAGACTTCTGTGGACCCAATCATAGGTCCTCTAGGAGCTCGAGGTCACCAGGCCTATCTATGTTTTGGGGATATTGGTATTGTGACCGGAGGACCATTAATTGGATGGCCCCCAAGCGTTCTTTCATAAATATAACTAGTCTATTAAGAATGCAAGGTCCAAAGGTTAGTAACAGCAATAAAATCAATAGGGGGCCTAATAAAGTAGAAATCAGGGTAGTTAGCCAAGGGGAGTTGTTAAACCATTTCTCGAACCAACTCTGGCTCAGCTCATACTCTCTCGTTTTCTTCTGGCCAGGCCTTCTCTTATCTTAGCTAGAGATTCTTTGACTACTCCCGAATGATCAACATAAAAACAGCATTCTTCCCTGAGGGCAGCACATAATCCACCTTGTTGGAGGAATAAAAGGTCTAAGCCCCTTCTGTTCTGCAGTACTGCCTCTGCTAGTGAGGTCAGGGATTCTTGTAAATGGGCAATAGAGTTTTCTAGGTTCTGGATGTCAGCGTCTATGGCCATTCTTAAGTCCTGATAGTTTTTACTTTGGGTTGCTAAGACTGAAATACCGGTCCCTGCTCCTGTCACTCCTAGGCCCAGAAGAACAGTCAGGGTGAGAGTAGTGGTAGGCTCTCTCCTGACCCGCATCAGGTAGCTTGACCCAATCAGGGATGTTATAATTTCTTCATTGGCATGATAGAGAACTCGGGGCACTAGCTGGAGCAGGACACAGAAGTCTTTGTTATGGTTTAGGACTGCACCATGTACACAAGGGGTGAGTCCTGTAGAGCAGGCCCACCATCCTTGGTCTGGTGGGATTATGTATCCATCGTCCCTAATCTGTTCAGTTTGATTGCAAAGGTGTGAATGTGAAGCCGGGACTTATCCTATGCATAGGCCCTGTCCCATTATAGACTGTAGGGTTAGCCTACTGGTGCTGGCCTGTTGCCATTGGCACTCAGAGGACTCATTAGAAGTGTGATATTGGCCCAAGATGGCTATTGCCTCATAATAGGGGGGCTTGGGATTATAGCATAACTAACAGGACTCAGTTAAATCAGGCTTGGAAGAGTTAAGAACATTAAAAGTATGGACCATCAGGTCCCATAAGGGCTCTGGCTCTGGTTCCTTGAGGACGGTGGTTCTTACGGATTTAGGTGGCAGGGTAATGGGAGTAAAGTGGGGTTGTCTGGGGGTCGGGCTCCCCAGAATAGGTGCCGCGCTGTTAGGGCTTTTTTTAGGAGCTCTTGTAGGTATTTCACGACTAAGACTAGGACCCTCACTAGGGGCTTTGGTAGATTTTGGCTTTAGGCTTGGTTGGGGCGCATGGGGCGCCAGAATCTGTTTTGGGCCTATTGGGATTGGCGGCCCACATGAGATAGGGCTTTGAACTGAGTCGGATGGTGAAAAGGGCCCCTGTTAGATCCCAAGTTCCGGCCCATACATCCTTAACCCCCAGGTTTTTCCTGATACCCAGCCAGGGGCCGACTTTTCTTTAGATGTAAACTGTATGACTCTGGGGTTACATTTTTGGTTACCTTGACAGTTTTTATACCATTGTGAGTCTGCTCTATAACTATCTTTTGGCCGGTGATCTTTTCGATTCACTTTGATGAGGTCATCTTTGAAAGGCGCTGACCACCAGATATCCCCAGTGCTGACACAGGCCCAGGACCAACAATAAAATCGGTCGCCCCCCTGACATCTCTGTCTCCAGGATCGATCCCCGTTTTTGTGTCCTGGACAAATGTAAAAGTAATTTTGTTTAAAAAGGTTACTAGATGGGCCTGCTGGTTTGAGGTCTTGTAGGTCAAGGGTGAGGTTTGGGAACCAGGTGTTTACGGGAGTAATTTTAGACAGTTGTACTAAAACATCTCCCGAGGAAGTATCTGTAAGGGTCCAGGTTAGGTTAAGGGGCTGGTGAGGGTTTCGGTTTTGGTTGGCCTGACAAGGCAGAGTACATACGGTTAGTAGTCCTAGTATTAAAAGCCAGTTCATGTTTTCCGTGTAGTTTGAGCTTTAGTGGATTCTCTGGGTCCTTGAAGGCCCTCCAGTCTAGATTTGGAGCCAGGTAGTCATCCCTGTTGGCAAACGGGTCAGCTGGTTTGGCGTGGGTGTAGTGGACCCAGGCAGCAATGCCGTCTACTTTCAGGGCCATTGGTCAGTAGCACAACATAAGTTCCCTTCCAGCGTGATTCCAAGTTGCCCTGGCGGTGCCTCTTCACATCACCGTGAAGTCACCAGGGCGGTACCTGTGTGGCTCCGGAGGTGGACCTGTTTCATAGAGGGCACCAGTTTAGGCCAAACACGTTTATGAACCCATTGGAGGACTCTGAGGTCTCGGAGGAGACGGGCTTCTTCGAACTCCTCAATGGCCTCATGCTGTAGGCGGGGTATGATAGGGGGTGCTTTACTAAACATGATCTCAAATGGAGTCAATCTCATTGGATATGGGGAATTACGCACCCTATATAGGGCAAAGGGGAGGAGGACCACCCAGTCACCGCCAGTCTCAAGGGTCAAATTGGTAAGGGTCTCTTTTAAGGTTTTATTCATCCTTTCTACCTGTCCTGAGCTCTGGGGTCAATAAGCACAGTGTAATTTCCAAATAATCCCCAGGGTCGTGGCTAGGTTCTGACTTACCTTGGACACAAAAGCCGGTCCATTATCTGACCCTATCATCTGAGGAAATCCATACCTTGGTAGGATGTCTTCTAGCAGCTTCTTAGCCACCACATGTGCAGTCTCGTGTTTGGTGGGATATGCCTCAGTCCATCCTGAAAAAGTGTCTACAAAGACCAGTAAGTCCCTGTAGCCATACCTGCCAGGTTTTACCTCAGTAAAGTCAGTTTCCCAGTAGGCCCCTGGGCGTCTCCCTCTTTGACGTGTTCCAAAATTATGGAGGTTCCGGGTAGCGTTTGAATAAATTTGCTGACAATTTATTCAATTTTGGAGTTGGCATCTTTAATTTTAATGTGTGACTGTCTAACCAGGTCTTGTAGTCTTCTCTGTCCCATGTGGGATGCTCGGTGTATTTTTGACAGAACCCTTATTCCCATTTCTTCGGGCAGGATGATTTTGTTATCTGAGGACCTCCACCAGCCCTTAAGGCATTGGGTCATAGGCAGTCCTTTAATCCATTGTAGGTCCTCGAGTGAATAACGAGGAGTCTCTGGTAGGTTGGGGCCCCCCAGATCTATGACTTTGACTGTCAGGGCCGGGGTGCCTTTGAGGGCCGCTTCTTTAGCAGCTCGGTCAGCCATATTGTTGCCTCTGGCCGTCTCAGTTATGTCCTTTTGATGGCCTGCACAATGGATGATAGCTAGTTTTTTCCGGAGCCAAAAAGCTTTGAGGAGAGCTAGGATCTCCTTTTTATTTTTAATAGTCTTTCCCTCGGCCGTGAGGAGCCCCCTTTCTCTATAAATTGCCCCATGGATTTGAGTGGTGGCGAAAGCGTATAGACCGTCTGTGTAGACATTTAGTTTTCTCCCCTTCCCTAGAGTTAAAGCTTTAGTGAGCACAATTAGCTCAGCCTTCTGTGCTGAGGTCCCGGCTGGCAGGGGCTCCATCCAAATGACTTTTTCAGTGGATACTACTGCGGCCCCGGCATACCTCAGTCCTTGATGTATGAAGCTACTGCTGTCTGTGTACCAGGTGACTTCTGCATCTGGCAACGGGATGTCCTGCAGGTCCGGATGGGTGGCATGAATATGGGCCAGGATCTCGGCACAGTCATGGAGGGGAGCCTCTATGTCCGGGTCAGGCAGCAATGTAGCTGGGTTCAGGGTGGCCAGGGCCTGGAAAATAATTCTGGTAGGGTTGAGTAGCAGTGTCTGAGAATGGATCATGCGGGCATTACTGAGCCATCAATCTGGTGCTTGCTTTAGAACTCCCTCTATTGCATGAGGGGTGGTGACGGCCAGCTCTTGCCCCGTAGACAATTTATCTGTATCCTTAACCAGCAGGGCCACAGCCGCAATCATGCGGAGACATGGCGGCCAACCGAATGCCACCGGGTCCAGTTTCTTGGAGAGGTAGGCCACAGGCTGGCGCCAGGGGCCCAAAGTTTGGGTGAGGACCCCTATGGCAATGCCTTTATGTTTATCAACAAATAAATGGAAGGGCTTGGTGATGTCTGGCAACCCTAAAGCGGGGCTGACAGTAAGGCCAGTTTCAAGGTGTCAAATGCCTGCTGGTGTTTTTTGGTCCATGTCCAAATGGTACCGGGCTTTTCCTTGGTTGCCTCATAGAGTGGATGTGCCCTTTCAGCGAACCCAGGGATCCAAAGCCGACAGAACCCCGCCGATCCCAGGAATTCCCTTACCTGCCAAGCATTAGTGGGGGTAGGGATCCTCAGGACCATTTCCTTTCTTGCAGGGGATAGCCAGCGCTTGCCTCCTTTTAGGATATATACTAAATACTGGACTTCTTTTTTTACAAATTTGGGCCTTCTTGGCTGAAGCCCGATATCCCAGTTCTCCCAGAGTTTGGAGTAATTGTTCAGTGCCGGTCAGGCAGGCATCTCGGTCTTGAGCGGCTATCAAGAGATCATCTACGTATTGCGAAAGAGTTATCTGGGGGTGTTGGGAACGAAACTCACCCAGGTCTTTGTGTAAGGCCTCATCGAAGATGGTGGGGGAGTTTTTGAACCTCTGGAGCAACCGGGTCCAAGTCTATTGTCCATTTGTGCCATGCTTGGGATAGGTCCATTCAAAGGCAAAGTATTCCTGGCTGTTTGGGGCCAAGGGGAGACTAAAGAAAGCATCTTTTAGATCCAGGGTGGTGTACCAGATATGAGTCGGTGGAAGGGTGCTTAACAGGGTGTATGGATTGGGCACTGTGGGATGGATGTCCATGACTCACTTGTTGACTTCTCTTAGGTCTTGGACGGGCTGGTAATCATTAGAGTGGGGCTTATGAACTGGCAACAGGGGTGTGTTGCAGGCCAATTGGCAAGGCTGTAACACCCCTAAGTCCAGTAATCGTCTGATGTGGGGAGTTATCCCTCTTTTGGCTTCTAGGGTCATGGGGTATTGCTGGACTCTGACCGGTTTGGTTCCTGGCTTGAGTTCAATGAGGATTGGGGCCCAATGCTTGGCCAATCCCATGCCACCTGTTTCGGCCCATGCTGTTGGGAACCTCTGTAGCCAGGACTGCATGTCTGGCTCTGTTGGCCAAGGTTCCTCATGCAGGCGATATTCATCTGCCAGCCCTACAGTAAGGAAGTGTATGGGTTGTCCTGTCCGGTCTAACACTTTTGTCCCTTCAGGGGAGAAATGGATTTGTGCCCCCCGTTTTCTCAATAAATTATGGCCCAGAAGGGGGTAGGGGCACTCTGGGATGACCATAAATGAGTGGGATACCCGACCCACGCCCAAATCCACAGTTCTTCGGGTAGTCCATGGGTATTGTTTGACTCCTGTCGCTCCTTGGACCCATGACCTTTTGGTTGACAGTGGGCCCCCGGGCTGTAGGAGTACAGAATGTTGGGCCCCTGTATTGACTAGGAAGTCTGTAGATTTCCCCTCCACTTGTAAGGTTACCCTGGGCTCGGGGAGGGGCACTGAACCCCATCCCCTCTAGTCACTGTCTTCTCCCATAACTAGGATGGGGGCCTTAGGTTTTGGTTTCTTGTTGGGACAATCCTTGACCCAGTGCCCCTCTTCTCTGCAATAGGCACATTGGTTGAGGCCCACGCAGGGTTTTCTCCAATCCCTTTTGGTTTCCTCCTTACTCTGTTCTAGGGAGGCCAGTTGCTTGAGACGGTGTTTTCGGTTGTCTGGATCTGCTATGGCAGCCAGCAGTATCTTTGCCAGGTCCAGGTTCTGTCTCTTTTCAGCCCTAATTTGTTATTTTCTGCACTTTCCCTGTTATTATATACTCTCTCTGCCACAACTACTAAATCTTGGAGACTCTTTTCTACAAGTCTTTCTAACTTTTGAAGCTTGAGGCAGATATCGGGAGCTTCTTGGTTAATGAAAGCCATGGCCACTGCCGATTTACTGGATTTGGCTTCCGGATCCATGGGAGTGTACTGGCGAAAGGCTTCCATTATTCTTTCAAGGAAGGCTGTGGGGCTTTCCTTGGAACTCTGACTAACATTATAAACCTTGGCCATGTTAGTGGGCTTGTGAGCTGCAGCCCTGAGACCTGCCAATAGAGCCTGGCGGTACCCTAGGAGGCACTCCTTACCTTCTGCTGTGTTGTAGTCCCAATCTGGGTGGGTGAGGGGGAAGTGGGCGTCAATACATGCCTGGTCCATTGTGGGGACCCCAGTGGGGCCAGGAACTAATTTCCTGGCCTCACTCTGGATGCGTTCTTGTTCCTCAGGGTGGTGAAGAGAACCTGCAACAATTGCTGACAATCATCCCAGGTGGGCTGATGAGTAAAAAGGACAGTTTCCAACAAATTAATAAGGGATCTAGGATTCTCAGAAAAGGTAGCATTCTGAGATCTCCACTTATAGAGATCACTAGTGGCAAATGGCCAATAGTGGTGTGGCTGATTGCCTTGGGCATCAGGGGGGCCCGTGGCCCTCAGGGGGAGGACAGTGGAGTCGGGTCCTTCTGGGGTCGCGCCGCAGCGGCTCCTTGTCCCCCGGGGGCGGGGCCTCGATTCAGTCCCGTGGCCGGGGCCGAGGGGCCAGCCGGTGGCTCCGGTGGTAGCTCCGGCGGGGCTGCTGCTGCTGCTTCATTGACAGCGGGCTGTAAAGGGGATTGGTATAGGGGTGGAAAAATCAACTCTTCCTCCGTTTCTCCCTGCAAAACGGGATAAAGAGAAGCTGAGGGTTTAGACTCAGGTTGTTGGGAGTTAGCCTTTCGGGGCGGCACCTGTTTCTCAGAAGTAACTAAAACAGGGGCCGATGCAGAGGAGGGCGACACCTGGGGAGGTAAAAAATGTTTAAGCCATGGAGGGGGATCATCCATCAAGTCGGCCCAGACTACAATGTATGGAACCTGGTTCGGGTGGCCCGTGCGGGGCCGAAAGACCTGCTGTTCTACTTGGTGCAAAGAGTCTGAAATTTTCTCTTTTTAACTTTCACAGAGAGATTGTGCACTTGAGCTCTGATATCCTTGAAGTGAGTGAGCAACAGGTCTAGGGGTTTAGAGGGTGTCTGTCCCATTTTGTCAGTCTCAGTCGCCCAGTAATAAAAGTCCAACAGACACAACTGACAGCCATAGACACACACAGAGAGACAGATAACAAAGTTCGCCGCCCACAGACACACACACACACAGTGACAGATAACAAAGTTCGCCACGGAAAAGAAACTGAACTGAAACTGGGACGAAGGCTTTTGGTTGGATCGTGGGCACAACCTGCCTTGTCCCTCTGAACCAATACAGAATACAGGTTAGGGGCAGTCTGCTGGACACTTTGTCCTCTCTGATACAGAAGGAGCCTGGAACGTCTTCCAGGTCTCCTGCACCTGTGGCCCCCAGCGCATCCGCCTTGACCGCCTTTGGTCGCCTAATACAGATGTGTCTCAAAACCAGAGTTACACAGACGAACACAACAGAAAGAGATTCTTACCAGCTGGTTGACCCTCTGGTTCGGGGGTCCTGGGGGGGTCTTGGGGGATCCTGGACGAGCCCCCAAATGTTATGCCCAGATGGCGAGACCCCCAAAGACCACCGAGGAGCCGATTCCAATGAAAGTAGATGGTCTTTATTCAAGCTCGAGCAGGGACTCCAACACACCCCGACGCAGCGGTGATGGTATGGAGCCCCGAACTCGTGATCGCAGGGCTTTTTATTTGGTTCGGCCCATCTGGCCTGACCACAAACTGCCAACCGGAACGTCTTGGGACATAGGCACCTCTTTAAACTGATTGGCTGTTGCTGTTGTTAGGGCAGTAACTAAGGGCAGGCTGCGGTTTTTCCTGGGACTGGGTTCGGGCCTAGTTCACTCTCAAGATGGAGGCTTTTTCTAAAATGGAGTCAGTTAGATTTAGGTCTCACAGTTCAACAAATCCATTTTTTTCTCCTGGGTGTGCTTTTGGTGTGTCTCTAAGAAATCATCATTAAACTCAAGATCACCTAAATTTTCTCCTGTGTTATTATCCAGAAGTTGTAGAATTTTGCATTTTACATTTAAGTCTATGATGATTTTGAGTTACTTTTTGTGAAAGATATAAGATTTGTGTCTATATTCCTTTTTTTGTATGTCCACTTGTCCTGGCACTATTTGTTGTATTCCATTGATTTTTCTGTCTATTCTTTTACTAATATGACGCCATTTTGATCTTTATATTTAAAGTTTTATATTGAGTCTTGCAATACCCAAAGTTGGTAGCATACTGAGAGTTTAAAATAAATGCAGTTGTATTATTTGTTTTATTTTTATACAAAGCACATATTGTAACTTTAAAAAATAAAATAAAAATGGGGCGCCTTGGTGTCTCCGTCAGTTAAGTGTCCGACTTTGGCTCAGGTCATGATCTCATGGTTTGTGAATTTGAGCCCCATGTTTGGGTTCGGATTCTGTCTGTCTGTCTGTCTGTCTGTCTCTGCCTCTCCCCTGCTCGTGCTCTGTCTCTGTCTCTCACTCTCTCAAAGGTAAATACACATTTAAAAAAAATAAAAAATAGGGGGGCCTGGATGACTCAGTTGGTTACACGTCCCACTTTGGCTCAGGTCATGATCTCATGGTTCGTGGGTTTGAGTCCTGCGTCAGGCTCTATGCTGACAGCCAGCTCAGAGCCTGGAGCCTACTTTGGATTCTGTGTCTCCCTCTCTCTCTGACCCTCCCCTGCTCATGCTGTTGCTCTCTTGCGTGCTCTCTCTCTCAGAAATAAATAAAATATTAAAAAAATTAAAATAAAAAATAAAATAAAAATTGCATATTGTAAAAGGTCCAATTTCTTTAATATATAAACACATTTAATGTATTTATTTTAAACATAAATGGCATAATATTTTTTAATAAATTTTTTTTTAATTTTGAGAGAGAGAGAACAAGTAGGTAAGGGACAGAAAGAGGGAGAGACACAGGATCTGAAGCAGGCAGGCTCTGCATTGTCAGCACAGAGCCGGACGTGGGGCTTGAACTCACAAACCACGATATCATGACCTGAGCTGAAACTGGATGCTTAACCGACTGAACCACCCAGGCACCTCCATAAATGGCATAATATTCAACACTGTTCTTTCTTTTCATTCAAGTAGTCATGTCTATATATGTTTTGTATCATATTTAAGTTATTCACAATTTTTCACTATTTAAATGATGATACAAGAAACATCTTTTCTTCCTTATTTGGTAAGAACTTCCTGCCCTAAACCTGGGATTCTCATCCTCTTCTTTGTGTCTCCTTTGGCATAGGTCAGTCTTCTGTCAAGATTAAACATTATTTTAACTATCTTGTATCATTAAACTCTCTCTCTGTCTTTGATCCTTCAGTTTTAAAACACGCTCTGACTCCTCCATCAAATGAAGCCTTTCTCTCTTTAAAAATTTTTTTTAAAAATTTATTTGTTTTGAGAGAGAGAGATAAGGGGACGGGCAGAGAGAGAGAGAGAGAGGGAGACAGAGAATCCCAAGCAGGCTCCTGACTGTCAGTGTGGAGCCCAACTCAGGGCTCAAACCCACAAACAGTGAGATCATGACCTGAGCTGAAATCAAGAGTTGGACACTTAACTAAATGAGCCACTCAGGCACCCCATGCCCCTCTCTTTCAAGCTACTGTCTTATGTATGTTTTAGACTATACCCTCTCCTCTTCTACCCATTTGCTTCATACTTCCCTACTATCTGGATTTCACCTTAATCATTCTGCCAAATCTCTAAGATCCAAGAGTTAACATTTCAGTTAACAGGACCTCCAGAATATCATTTTCACCCTGATCCACCCTCTGCTATGTTTCTTCATCCAGCTAGTTTCCAAATTAGTTGTTTCTGTATCTATAATGTCTTTTCCATCTATCTTCATTATTACATTTCTCCTGCTTCCATTATTTCTCCATTGAACTATGATAATAGCTTTCTCACTGATCCTACCACTACCCTCTTAATTCTATGATAACTGTATACATAGCAACCTCAAGAGTCTCCCTAACTGCAGCTTTGTCCCGTCCCTCCTTTGAGACCTTTAAGATTCTCCATTGCAGAGGGTGTGGCTGGGGAGTGGGGTGAAGGATGGAGTGAGGAATAGGAAAGACTGCATTGTTAAGTCCTAGAGTCCAAAGGCCCAGAAAACCAGGAGTATTTTAATGTCCAAAGGGAGGAGAAAATGACCATCCTAGCTGAAAAAGAGAAAATTTGCCCTCCCTCCTTTTTATTGGACCTTTAATGGATTGGATGTTGCCCACCCATACAATTGAGGTCAGATTTTCTTTACTCAGTCTACTGATTTAAATGTTAATCCCTTCCAGAAACATCCTTACAGATACCTACCCAGAAATAATGTTTACTGACTCTCTAGGCATTCCTTCACCATCAAGTTGACAGCATACAATTGACAATCACAGGTAGTTTGTGACATCTAATTGTGATATATTCCATATCTCCCTTTATTTTTTCATTTAGATATAATTCACATTTTATAAAATTCATCCTTTTAAAGTACACAAGTCACTGGTTTTTAGTATATTCACAGTTGTGTACATCCACAATCTAATATCAGAACATTTTCATCTATCTTAAAAGAATTTCCATACCTGTTAACCATTATTCCCTATTCTCCCCTTCTCCCCAGCTCCTGGGCAAACATTAATCCACTTTCTAGCTCTACATATTTGTCCACTATGGATATTTTCTATGAACAAATCATACAATATATTTCTTTTTTTTTTAAACTTTTTTTTTTTAATGTTCTATTTATTTCTAGGAGAGAGAGAGAGACAGCGTGAGCAGGGGAGGGTCAGAGAGAGAGGGAGTCACAGACTGAAACAGGCTCCAGGCTCTGAGCTGGCAGTCAGCACAGAGCAAGACACGGGGCTCGAACCCAAGAACAGAAAGATAATGACCTAAGCGAAAGTCGGACGCTTAACCGACTAAGCCACCCAGGCGCCCCAATATATTTCTTTTTGTATACGACTTTTTCCATGTAGCATAATGTTTTCAAGGTTCATCCATGTTAAAGAATACATTAGTACTTCATTTTATTTAATGTCTAAATAATATTGCATTGTATGGACAGAACACATTTTGTTTACCTATTCATCAGCTGGTGAAAATTGAATTGTTTCCATGTTTTTGGCCTTTATGAATGATACTGCTATGAGTATTCATGTGTAAGTTTTTGTGTGAATACATACTTTCAGTTCTATTGGGTATATACATGGGAATGGACTTACTGGATCATATAATAACTATATGTTCAACTTTTTGAGGACTGCTAAACTGTTTTGCAAAGTGGCTGCACCACTTTACATTCCCACCAGCAATGTTCCAATTTCTCTACATCCTTGCCAACACTTGTTATTGTCTCTTTCTTTCTTTCTTTCTTTCTTTCTTTCTTTCTTTCTTTCTTTCCCTCCCTCCCTCCCTCCCTCCCTCCCTCCCTCCCTTCCTTCCTTCTAATTACCCTGCTGGGTGTGAAATGGTATCTCATTGTGGTTTTGATTGCATTGCCTTAATGGCTAATGCTGTTAAAGATCTTTTCATGTGCATATTGGCCATTTGTATATCTTCTCTGCAGAAGCATCATTCAAATCCTTTCCCATTTTTAATTGATTATCTTTTTATTATTCTGGCATAAGCATTCCTTATATATTCTGTATACTTGTGTCTTATCAGATAGAAGATTTGCAAATAATTTCTTTCATTCTAGGAGTTGTTTTCTTCACTCTAGATAGGGTCTTTTCTAGCACAAAATTTATATATTTTGATGATGTCTAATTGATCTATTTTTTCTTTTGTTGCTTAAAAGTTTTGGCATCATATCTCCAAAATTATTGCCTAATGCAAGATCATGAAGAGTTACACTTATATTTTCTTGTAAGAGTTTTATGATTTTAGTTCTTACATTTAGGTCTCTGACCCATTTTGAGTTATCTTTTTTAGCAGCATTAAAAATATTTTACTCTTTTAACCACATCTATCTAGTTCCCTAGCAAATCTAATGTTAATTTGTTAAAATCTTTTAGGAAACGTCATTATCTTGTGGAACTTTGAGCTTTTGTCACCTCAGAATTACCTAGCTTCTTGTACCAAACTCACTTAATTTTTTTTTGAGAGAGAGAGAGAGTGAGAGCAAGCAGGGGAGAGTGGCAGAGAGAGAAACTCAAGGAGGCTCCATGTTCAATGCTGAGCCTGATGCAGGGCTCTATTCCACAGCCCTGGGATCATGACCTGACCTGAAATCAAGAGTCAGATGCTCAACTGACTGAGCCACCCAGGGATGCCCCTCTCCCAACTCTCTTAATTTGAAAGTAAGATGGAAGACCTTCAGGGTTCACAGACTGGGGGAGGGCAAATTTAAAGATCAGCTTACTAATTCTACATTTGGGTTCATCCAAAGAAAATAATTATAAATATGTGCCAAGATTTATCTATAAGTATTTTCTTTTTTTAGTGTCAATGTATTTATTTTGAGAGAGAAAGATGGAGGGGCAGATAGAGGGAGAGAGAGAATCTCAAGCAGGCTCCTGTGAGTGCAGAGCCTGACATGGGGCTCCATCTCATGCAACGGCAAGATCCTGACCTGAGCCGAGCTGGAGTCTGATGGTTACTGGACTGAGCCACCCCGCGGCGCCTCTCTATAAGTATCTTCTATGCAACATTATTCACAATACTAAAAAATTGGAAACAAATTAGATTGATAATTAGAAATTGGTTAAATACATATGGAACATCCATGGAAAGGAATATCATCTAGCCACTATGCATCATGTTTTCAAAGATATTTAATGATATGGGAAAAATGTGTATTAAATGAAAAAAGAAAGTTTTACAGCACAATTAAATTTTTGGTAAATAATATACATATAAAAAAGTGAAAGAAAATATACTAACATTTTAAGGTAGTTATAGACTACAAGTGACTGCATGTTTCTCCATTTTCCAGCTTTTCTACATTAAATAATGGAAGTATTTTTTTAATTACCACTTTTGAAATAAGAGAAGGGACATATTAAAACAGATCAATCTGTAGTAGAGTGAATCCAAAATGGGTCACATTTTACTTGTCTAGCTACAATCTCTTGCCAGTTCACTAGTTGGAGATCTCTGCTGGGATCCTTGCCAGAGAAAGTCTTCCATTTTGGTAGTTTGCTTCACCATGCTCCCATGAATAAAATCGTTTCTGGCAAGGTCTGGAGTGTTTGGATAAGGTGTGGAGTGAGGGAGGGAGACGGTCCTGGAAGTTGGGGATGTAATGGCTAGTCACAGAACCTGCTACCTCAGGACCAGGGTTGGGGTGCAAGTTTCAGGGCACAGAGCTCTTCTCCAGTTCATACACCCACCTTCCCCATCACTTGTGTTCATTTTTTAGTTCATGAGTCTTTACACTTATAAAGTTTCCCTTTATAAGTTTTGAGGGTGGAGAACCTGGACCAAAGCCTGGTGGTAAAGGAAAACCTACTACTGCTACCACCAGTTGCTCTCAAGGCAGAACTAGCAGAAAATAATCCAGGATTTCCTCTTTGTCACCAGGGTAGTAGCAGACTCCCATTACTATAAAAGGCTACATAGGTTTTGACTAGCTCTTCATGTAGACCCAGTTGACTGCAACCAATCAGGAAAGATGCTGTAAGAAATGTTTATTCTTTCTACTACTATCCACTTGCCATCAGCACGTCCTCAGTAATTGTGTTTCAAATTGGAAGAAGTATGAAATACTCAATACAAATCACATGGCACATGGTCTCACCTCTGTAAACTAGATTTGAGTGTTTCCACTGAGCACTAGGATAAAAGTTTAAGTTTTACTTCATGTGTCTCTATTCTACTTCTACTTTCCAGGCTTAGCTCAAATACCTCCTCCTTCAAAGCATCTTCATCAGGATTCATCCTTTGTTTTTGGGGCTTTCGTGCATTTAGGTGAAGCCCCGTGGCAGTGTCACTATGCCCTGCCCAATGTTTACAGATATTATGTCATATGGAGTTACAGGCAGCAGTAGCCTTGGGATCAACAGCACGGGATCTGGAATCGGGGAAACCTAGAATTCCCATCTCTTCCTAGCTTTGGGATGATATCAAGAGACGTAGCGTCCCTAAACTTCTATTTCATCACCTACTGAATGTAACTAATAATGCTGACTTTAGACAGTTAATCAGAAAAGAAGAGGTCAAGAAATGGTAGTAGTCATAATTATTTGAAGGCAAACATTGCATCTTATTCACTTTTCCTTCCTAATTGTGCCCAGTTCCGTGCTTTACACTTAGGAAGAGCTTGCTAAATATTTAATATTGCTGAACAAAAGTTGAAAGAGCTTATGTACTTTATGAACAGAGTGAGAGAAATGATAGTTTTCCAAACTGCCTTCTGAAATGCCCCAAGGGATGAAACAGAATAGAAGACTAAGACTTAGGGCCTGTGTATCTTTATCTTAAAAAAAAAAAAAGTGTGGTAAAATATACATAACATAAAATTTACCATTCAAATGATTTTTAAGTATATGTCTTTTTTTGTTTCTTTTTTCTCTTAACCAATTATTTATTATTGTTAATAGTGAAGAACATTTCTAAATGGCATACAGTCCAATAATAAATGGAACTCCCTCTATCAGTGTTCATGTCCATCTGAATGTGTTTAGGAGTTTTATAGAAGTCATGCACACACAATCATTTCTCAAGCCACATACAGGTTTTTCACACTTGCTTCCAATTTTCACACTTGCAGAAAAATTTAATCTCTCTCTCCCTTCCTCCTTCCCCCCTCTTTTCCTTCCTTCCTTCTTTCCTTACATCTTTCTTTCTTTCCTCTACACTTCAAGTTGTAGGCTTATTTTATTTTATTTTGTTTTTTTGTTTATTTATTTATTTTGAGGGGGGAGGGGCAGAGAAAGCGAGAAAAAGAGAATCCCAAGCAAGCTCCACATTGGCAGTGTGAAACTAACTTGGGGTTCCAATCCACAAACCGTGAGATCATGACCTGAGTCAAAACCAAGAGCCTTCCACTTAACCAACTGAGCCACCCAGGCATCCCTCAAGTTGTAGGATTTTAAAAAATTTGAACTACAATTGACATGCAATATCCTATTAGTTTCAGGTGTACATAATAGTGATTATATTTTTGTACATTATGAAATGATCCCCGTGTTAAGTCTAGTTACTATCTGTCACCATACAGAATTATTACAAAATTACTGACTATATTTCCTATGCTGTACATTACATTCCCATCACTTACTTATTTTATAACTGAAAGTTTCTACCTCTTAATCTCCTCCACCTATTTTGCCTGTCCCCAACTCTCACTCTAGTAATCAACAGTTTCCTGTATCTATGAATCTGTTATTGTTTTGTTTGTTCATTTGTTTTGTTTTTTAGATTCCACATGTAAGTAAAATCACATAGTATTTGTCTTTTTCTGACTGACTTATTTCCCTGGCATTCATCTGGATGATGCCAAGGATATGAGAATGGCACTGTAATGTATTTGTTAATAAAGTATCATAAATCTTACTTCTTTTTCAGAGATAAAATACCTTCCTAAGATTCTGTACTTCTTCCCAGAGCTCTGAGCATTTGAATTAGTTGAATTATAGTATAGTGAATTAGAGTCAGGTTTGCTGGTTTAATTTATGGCTTTCACACTAGCTCACTGTGTCAAATTACTTAACCTTTCTGTATCTTAGTTTTCACATCTTAAAGAGCGTTCATACTAATAGTATTTATCTTAGAGATTTGAGGTGATTAAATGAAAAAAGAGTTGCCATATAAGTATTAGGTATTATTTTTATTCTTGGAAATAATGTCTTTAAAGTCTCTTTCTTGCTGCACTGAAGGTGCTGTGAAGCCAAAGACTTCATCGACTTTGTCTGCTGTTAATTAAGTTCCCTGCAAATACCTCCAAATGGGCTTATAGTCTAGCTCTCCCTCTTTTTTTGCCTTAAAAAATGTTTTTTTTATTTGCACATGCAATTTTTTAAAGAAGGAGTTAATATAGCTGACCACTATTTCTTGAGCTTTTTGGATTTTATTTTAAAGATTAAGTGAGTTTGGGGAAGGAGATGGTTAGGAAAATATTCTTTCTTCTTCCTTCCTTCCTTCCTTCCTTCCTTTCCTTCTCTTTCTTTCTTTCTTTCTTTCTTTCTTTCTTTCTTTCTTTCTTTCTTTCTTTCTTTCTTTCTTTCTCTATTTACCTCTTTTCACATCTTTTCCTTCTCTCCTCCCATTCTCTCTTTCTTTTTTGATTTACCAATCTTAATGATCCAAGGGAAAGGCTAAACATATGGTGCCTTCCAAAAGTTCGTTTGCAGCAGTTTTTGGTTTAACCTAGGAAAATCCCTAGCTGTCCAGTAGGAAAGTTGCAATTCTTGCCTTTAGGAGGCGCTGTTTGTCAGTGTTATCCTAAACCTGGAAAAGGAAAGGGGAGAGGCCGCCAAGGCAGCTATGACGTGAGCAGGAAGTTAATTATCAAGTTACTCGAACCGGGACACCAGTTTTCACTTGCATAGCAGAAAGTTTTGAGTTCTCTTCCCGCGCAAATGGGAGCTTCCCTGGAACGTAGATTACGCAGATAATTTTAATTTCTTTAAAACTTGTTTTCAGGCAATTTCCCCCGGAACCATTTACCTCCAGAGGACGAGCGGAATTTGATCTGAAGGTATGTGATTAGCACCTTTTCCCTGCCGAGGTCTTACATGCTAGCCTTGTGCCTTCCTTCAGTTTTAGGAACTTGTTAAAGCTCTTGTCAGCAATGGTAGTTTCTGCCGGGATTTATTAGCCATGCCAGGAGAAATGAAGGTTTAAAAAGTACTAGGAAAGCTCCAACACAGACGTGTGTGTGTGTTTTTTTAATGCTTTATTTTTGGGATTTAAAATGCTTTATTTTAATGCTTTATTTTACTTTTGAGAGAGAGACAGAGACAGCACGAGCAGGAGAGAGTCAGAGAGGGAGACACAGAATCTGAAGACAGGCTCCCAGCTAGCCGTCAGCACAGAGCCACACGCAGGGGCTCGAACCCAAGAACCGGGAGATAATGACCTGAGCCGAAGTCGGACGCGTAACTGACTGAGCCACCCAGGCGTCCCTCCAGCACAGACTTTTACGGACAGAAATATGCTAGTCCACAAATGGAGAAAAGTCTGTAGACTCGCCAAAGTTACAGATTGGAATCTTCTGGAAACTGCAAGGCAAATGTATGATACTTTGGAACAGAAACACATCTCTAACAAGCCATTCCTTTGGTTTCTGGTATCACAGGCTGCTACTAGAAGGAAAGACCCCAAAGATGGTCACATTAAAAATAGCATTTTACATTTTCTCTCTCTCTCTAAAAATAAGCTCTACGCCCAATGTGGCCCTGTTCTCACAGCCCTTAGATCAAGAGTTGCATTCTCTTCTGATTCAGCCAGACATCCCCGTTTTCTTTTTCTAACAATAAAAGTAATGTGTGTTTGTTGCATAAAATCTGAGAAACTCAGAGAGGATCCTGGAAGGAAAGTTATGTTATTTGTAATTATACTACCTAGATGTAACTACTCTTTGTTATTGATGTTTTTTGTTATGTCCTTCTTCCTTTATAAAGTGGTTTCTTGTTTCTAAATAGTTAAGTATTGAAAAGAGAATATATACCTTGAGGTCTTATAGTATGAATTATATTACACTGAAATATTTTATCAGTTCATTGCTCCTCTGATTCGAATGGAGTTTAGTGCAGAAAATAACCATATCAACGTTATCAACTAATCAGATAGAAGTACTGATTTAGGTAATTTGTGACTTCCTTTTTTGATCTGAGCAACTCTTGTCTGAAACCACCCTTTCTTTGGACTGCAGGATTATGGCCTCTCTTTTTTGAGAGCTACAGACCTGTCCCATTATGGTTAGCAGTGTTACCTCATCTTTCGATTGGTAGACACTTCTGAAGTATAAAACCCCAGGCTGCTTTATTTCTAAAATGAAAAGCATAAATCTGAGCACTATTTCTGCCATTTGGTGAAACGAATTAAGAGCTCTCACAAGGAGAAATTGTGCTTTGTCCTTCTCCCTTGTGACTAGCGCCCACTAGGGGCATTTTGATTTGGGAGAAATAAAGGTAGGTTGAGTTCCAAAGAAAGCTCCTTCCAGACCTCCAGAAGGGTTAACAGAGAAGTGCTATGGTTGAGTTTTTTTGCCTCTTGGTTTTTGAAGTAAGTTCACAGGAATTTTTATTTTTCAGCGCTTCCAGGAAATTCTAATGCCTGTAATGGAGGAGGCTGGGGATGTTGGGGTTCTGTGGATCCTTTTTCTCTTATGTGCTGCCCCACCTCTCTGTCTCCTTCAGGCTGGCCATGACATCTCAAGGTCAAAGTGTGAGGTTCCATTTAGACGATAATTTTCAGGTGAACTTCCGTGAGAGGCTTCTGATTATTGATTCAAAGCTGGAGGCCCAAGATGTGGAGGGCTTGAAGTTTCTCTGCCGAGACTGGATCTCCCACAAGAAGCTGGAGAAGTCCAACTCCGCCTCGGATATTTTTGATCATCTGTTGGCAGAGGAGCTGCTGAGTGAGGAAGACCCCTTCTTCCTAGCAGAACTCCTCTATATACTCAAGCAGAAATCGCTGCTGCAGTACCTCTGCCAAAGCAGAGAGCAAGTGGAGAGTTTGCTGCCCACCCGAAGGAGGGTCTCTTTGTTCAGGTGAGGAGGGGTCTGTGATCAAGACAGGGGGCTTTTCCATCCAGCTAGTGCTCATTCAGACCACTGGGTGTTGAAAGGAGGCTGGGATTAAGATCCTTTTCTTATCTACCTCCTTGGATAACATGGTGTTCACAAGCCAGAAGATCTCTCAGCTTCTGGCACTAATGAGATGAAAAGTTGGGAGGAAGGACAACAAAGCTTCAAAGCCCAGCTCTGAAGCTGGCTTCCCTTGGTTTGCTTCTCACTGCCGAAGGAAGCCTGCCTCAGCACAGCAGGGTCCGCACTTTCCTTTCACCCTCTGTACTCCCAGACGGTCCTTCCTCCTGTGAGTCATTGCGGGGATTTGAGAGGAGATAATGCATACTTGGACCCAAATAAGCAAAATGAAAAAGGAGTTGTGTCTCTGAGGTAGGGAAGGACGTCATTTATGCCAGGTCCAGTTTTAAATTTTCATATGCTTTTGTGTGAAACCCAGAGGGGTAAAATATGGACATTAAAAAATGTGAAATATAGGGATCAAGTCTATCGTGGCTCAGACCTTAGATAACATTATTTTTTTAATTTAATTTAAAAAAAATTTTTTAATTGAGTTATAATTGACCTATAACATTGTAATAGTTTTAGGTGTTCAACATAATAATTGGATATATTTATACATTATGAAATGATCACCACAGTAAGTTTGACATCCATCACCACATGTAGTTACAAAGTTCTTTTGCTTGTGATGAGAACTTTTAGAAACTACTCTTTTAGCAACTTTTAAATACATAACACAGTACAGTGACCCTTGAACAATATGAGGGTTAAGCTACTGATCCCCACAAAGCCAAATATCAAGCATAACTTTTGACTCACCTCAAATTTAACTACTAGTGTTGACCAGAAGCCTCATAGATAATATAAAGTCAGTCACTACATATTGTGTATGTTACATGTATTGCATTCTTACAATAGACTAACCTAGATTAAAGGAAATGTTATTAAGAAAATCGTAAGAGAAAATACATCTATAATATTGTATTGTATTTGTCACCAAAAATCTGAGTTCAAGTGGACCCTTGCAGTTCTGAACTGTATTGTTCAAGGGTCACCTGTGTTGTCACCGTGTTGTACAATACATCACCAGGACTTCGTCAACACGGGTTTTAATTATCCACTGACATATCTACCTTAGAGACCCTCACAAGGAAGATTCAAATGTTATTTTATGGCTGGCGTGACTAGAATCCTTCAGGTCTCCCTTCTTGAAGTGGCTCCCAGAATCTGAGCTATACTTGAGTCAGTGAAGGAATTCTGGAAGTCATTATTTCCACTCGGCTGGTTAAACAACCGAGGGAAGATCTCTGGCATACAGAGGAGTTAGGGTGTGAATGGAATGTTCAGCTTTTCTGGTTGTCAGTTACATGACGGTCCAGAAGTTGGGATAGTTTCCTTTTTTTTTCAGTAGTGGACTTTTGATAGAATGGTATCAGGCCCTCTCTGATGAGGGCCTATGAAGTAAGCCTGAATTCCTAGAATGGGCTCAGGAGATGGGAAAGCATGGCAATACTGAGTTTTGCATCTTTTTAGTGGGATGGAAAGTAGCCCTGGACTTGGAATCAGAAGGCCTGCCTCTACTGCTTGTTGTGTTATCTTTATGTAGTAGGCCACTTAAAGCTTAGAGTTTCAGTTTTGAATCTATACAATGGGATTCGAAATTGTCTACTCACAGGGTGTGATCATTCAAATAGAAAATGTTTGTAAAAAAAACAATTTACTGTACTGTCCTCTGCAAATGTGAGGCTTTACTTGTCTCTCTGGATGTATGTCTTAGAAACCTGCTGTATGAACTGTCAGAGGGAATCTGCTCAGAGAACTTAAAGGACATGGTCTTCCTTATGAGGGAATTGATTCCTAAAACCCAGATGGTAAGTGTGTCATAAAGAGTGAGGTGTTTGTGAGCATTGCCTTTTAAAAAAATGTTTATTTTTGAGGGGTTGGGGGAGATCATGATTGGGGGAAGGGCAGAGAGAGGAGGAGAGGAAGACTGATAATCCCAAGCAGGTTCCATGCTGTCAGCGCAGAGCCTGAGTTGGGGCTTGAACTCACCAAAATTTGAGACCATGACCTAAGCCAAAATCAAGAGTCAGAAGCTTTACTAACAGACCCATCCAGGTGTCCCTGTAAGCACTGCCTTAATCAGTGTTGGGAATATGCTGGAAAGGGTCTTCAGGAAGGTTTATGTTTGTAGAAGACGATGCCATACAGTGCTTAGGAACATTGACTTTGGTGTTGGATGGGGCTGGCTTCTAGTCCTGGTTCTGTGACTAATGCCTCAATGTGGGGCAAGTGATTAAACCTTTCTGAGTCTCCATTTTTTCTTGTGTCATACTGTGGACATTACACTACTTCCTTCCAGGACTGTTGGGAGAATTGGGTGAATAATATGGGTAAAACCTTAGGGGAGTGTATTTGGCACATGGAAGTCAGGTAGTAAATGGTTAACTTCTATTGGCACCCACTGTGTTTTACTATGTAGAAATGTGTGGGCCACAGTAAGGAAATGAGGAGGTGGGTAGGTGGGGTAGGTCAAATGAGGACTATGTAAGTAATTCATTAAATATATTTCCTGGTGTCAGACCAATAGACCTGAGCAGGTTTATTTTGTTTAGGTCACAGTTTTTAAGATTTTTTTTACTCTTTCAGAGCCCTCAGGGATTTTAGTCTCTGTGTCTTTTGATTAGTCACCTCTTGAGGCTCTTGCTTTCCAAAAGTTGGTTGTGGGTTCCTTGGAGTTGATGACCGAGTCTTACTCATCATTATAGCTCCAGAACCTTGTAGAATCTGTTACAAAATGATGCTCTGAATGAAAGCATGAATGAGTGGGATAATATAATCTCTCCCTTCTCTTTCTGAGAAAATGGCCTGCACCCTTTATGTTTATGTGATTTCTTATGATGAATGACTGGAGAGATTAGCAGGACAAGCTAAGCCACCCTAATGGGGTTGTGCAAAGATACACTAATAGCATTCTTATACTTTTTGCCTATTGTCACAATCTACTAATTTTTTCCCTTAGATAGTCCCTGATATCTTTCTGGATTTTTTTTTACACTTTTTTCTTTTCTTTTTATTCTTTAAAAAAACCCAACAAAACACAAGTTTAGAAAAATGAATAAAACACACATATAGATTAAAGAAATGTTATAAGGCTAATCCTCTTGAAACCACCACATATTAGAATTTGCCAGCTATTCTAGAAACCCCTCCACTTGCCCCATTCCAATCATAGCCCCTTCCCACCTGCTAGAAGAAATCACTGTCAGGCTTTTATAGTAACAATGTTCTTATGTGTCTTTATGACTGTCATTTACTTGTGCATCCCTAGATGTCAAGTTTAGTCTTGGCCAGTTTATTTCTTTTGAGTGTCTTTTAACTATAGGTTAACCCCCCTCCCCCTAAACCTTTTCTTTTTCTTAAAATGTTTCTGTTGAAGAACCCCAGGACAACTGGCTGGTAGAATTTCCCCCAGTCTGAGTTTTGCTGATTGTGTGTGCTCAGTGCAGTTCGATGTGCTCCTCTGTCCCCTTATTTCCTGCAAATCAGCAGCTGGATTCAGAGACTGAATGTTTCCACATTGATTTCCTGTAGTTTGAAAAGCTCTCCAGATTATTCTGATAATATTTTCTCCTATCTTGGAACATCCTGTCGTGATTTCTCTAGCCTCTGGGTTTATAAATAAAATGAAACCATTCTCTGTGGTTACACTTCTCCCTATGTTATGGACAGAAGTCCATACTCCCCACAGCAGGATGAGATATGAGGAGATGGGCAGGAATCTTTGATATACTCCACACCAAGCTGTGATTTTCTGCTAGGAAAAACTGGAGAATATATTTCTTTTTGTACTTCCTCCATGGGTCTTAGACCTTAGCTTGCAGGCATCTGTGGTTGGTTACCAGAAGCATTCCAAACATTTTGCCCCCTGTTAAATTAGCTTTTAAGTCATCGAAGACCCATGCTCAGGCAGCCAAATGCTTTTATGCTTTTCTCATTCAGTACAGTAGTAAAGGGAGAAATCACTGTACTTTGCTGTGGCATAGGACTGTGGAAATACCTGGTCAGATTCAGGAAAAGCACACTTCCTTCTTGGGTTCCAAATGATCTCAGCTTTATTTTGAAGGAGATCTATTTTGTCATGTGAGAATTGTGGCTGAGTTATATACCTGAGATAACCCAGGTTGATCTCAATTGGACTTTGTGATCAAGTTGGCCTTCTGAAGTGTATAAAAGACAATCTCTAAGCAACCTAGATGAGTTTCCTTATGAGGGCTTAATAAGACTGCAATATCTGCAGTTGTGATTGCAAAAGCTTTTGTCACCGAAATAAATTATTTAGCAGTCAGGTGGGGAGGCCCTGAACTTCCCTCAGTGAAAAAGGAAATGTTCTAAATTCACACAGTCTCTCCAGAGTTAAGAGAATTGACCTTTGTAGGGTGTTCTAGGGATCCTTTTTTGATAACTTTCGTACAGGTTCATAGCAGATCACACATGCTGAGATAATCAGTCCGGAAATCCGTTCTCAGAGTAGCTGTCAACTTAGGACGTTGGATGTAAAGGAAACCACACCCAAATTTACTAGCTTAGCAAAGGAGCAGAACAAAAGAGCTTTCAGACATTTCCTGCTAGTATTTACCAGGGTGGTGTTCTTAAAGTACAGACTTCATTTAAATTGTGTGGTGTGTGTATGTGTGGGTGTGCAGAGAAGATGTCATTTACCAAACATCTAAGAACCTTTACAAAGTATAATGAATTTCCATCATTGCTTCTGGAATCATGTCTTAGTCCCTTTTCTTCCTCTTGGTAGGGTGCTGTAAAAAATGGAGTTTCGGGGTGCCTGTGTGGCTCAGTCAGTTAAGCATCCAATTTCAGCTCAGGTCATGATCTCACAGTTGATGAGTATAAGCCCCACATTGGGCTCCATACTGATGATGTGGAGCCTGCTTGGGATTCTCTTTCCTTCTCTCTCTGCCCCTTCTGTGCTCTCTCTTAAAAATAAATAAACTTAAAAAAATTTTTAGGGGCGCCTGGGTGGCTCAGTTGGTTAAGCGTCCGACTTCAGCTCAGGTCACGATCTCACAGTTTGTGGGTTTGAGCCCTGTGTCGGACTTTGTGCTGACGGCTCGCTCAGAGCCTGGAGCCTGCTTCAGTTTCTCTGTCTTCCTCTCTCTGTGACCCTCTCCTGCTCATGCTGTCTCTCTCTCTCAGAAACAAATAAAAAAATTAAAAAAAAATTTTTTTTTAAAGTTTTAAAAAATGGGTTTTCTGTTTTGAGGTTCAGAGAGAGCTCATCTGCCTGTGACCTACCATAGAAACTTGTGTGGTAGATTCCCTCTGATCCCTTTGCCCAGCTGATCAGCTGTGGATGAATCTTCTTGCACACTCTCTTCTCTCCTGCTTTATTCCTGGGCTAAGCTATTGGTGTGCTAGAGTGGTGGGGACACACATACTTCTTTTATTTATTTATTTATTTATTTATTTATTTATTTACTTTTTTTGAGATAGAGGATGCAGAGAGGGAGAGAGAGAATCCCAAGTGGACTCCACATTGTCAGCGCAGAGCCTGACACAGGACTTATACTCATGAACCATGAGATCATGACCTAAGCTGAAATCAAGAGTCAGGTACTTAACAGACTGAGCCACCCAGGTGCCCTATCTCTGGAATTTCTTTAAAAATTATAATCTCTCTTTGATCATATGAGAACAGAAATCAAGTAATCAACTCTGCCCTTTCCCTTGGTTGTTGCCATCTTGAGTGCCTATTTGAACACACACACACACACACACACACACACACACACACACACTCAGTAACCCTTCCTCATCCTTATGTTATTTCTCTTTCTTCCTCCTTCCCTCTACTGCCAAACTTCTTAAAAGAATAGTTTGTATGCACTTTTTTTCCACTAAGTCAACACTGCTGATTCAACACATTTCAGTATGATTTGAACTTCCAATAAAACTGCTCGTGCTGAAGCAACATGAACCTCCTCATAACCAAATTTTTAGTTTCACATCATCTTTCCCATGTGGTTTCCTTTGCCTGGAATGTCCTTTTTCATGCTGGCAGTGAAGACATAGTCATCCTTCAAGAATCCCCTTCCAGGGATGCCTGGGTGGCTCAGTCAGTTAAGCATCTGACTTTGGCTCAGGTCATGATCTCTCGGTTTTTGAGTTTGAGCCTACATTGGGCTCTGAGCTGACAGCTGGATGCCTGGAGCCTGCTTTGGATTCTGTGTCTCCCTCTCTTTCTGCCCCTCCCCTGCTCATGCTCTCTCTCTCTCTTAAAAACAAATAAACATAAAAAAAATAATAATAAAAAAAGAATCGCCTCCCATGTGCAGCTTGTGTGAAGCCTGCTATGTGGAATAGATGAATGATGAATAAATGAGTGATATCACCATTTAAAGTCATCTTTGATTTTTCCTTCACTTCTTCACCCACTTCCAACTGATCTCTACAACTCACCAAATTCTATTTCAGAAATGTTTCTCAAATCCAATGCCTCCTGCCAATATTTTCTCCCTAATCCACTTCCTTCTCCAACCTATTTCAAAACTTCTACTAAAATCCAAATGTATTCATAGTTTTGTCCTCCTTAAAAACTCTATTGCCACTCCTTGACACATGGGACACTTGGCCCAAACTCCTCATATACTGTATGTTCCTGCATGGTCTGATACCAGCCTGCTGTTCTAGCCATGACCTAGCTCTCTCTCAGGGTTTGTACTCAAGCCTGCTTCTCAATGTTCCTGAATCCACTGTCCCTTTTCAACTGTTCAACTGTTCAACATGTCTGAAAACTTCTCCCCAGTTCCCACTCTGTTGATGCTTAATGTATGTAGTGGAATAGTGTTCAGAAGTTCCTTTCTTTTTTCTTTCTTTTTTTTTCTTTTATAAAGAGTTTATTGTCAAGTTGTTTTCCAACAACACCCAGTGCTCATCCCCACAAGTGCCCTCCTCCATGCCTATCACTCCCCCTTCCCTCCCCACACTTCAGTCCTCAGTTTGTTCTCAGCATTCAAGAGTCTCTCATAGTTTGCCTCTAACCCTTTCCCCCACCATTCCCCCCTTCTTCTCCCCCATCGTCCTCCGTTAAGTTCCTCCTAATCCTCCTATACGTGCAAACATAAGGTATTTGTCCTACAATGCTTGACTTATTTCACTCAGCATAACACCCTCAAGGTCCATCCGTGTTGCCACACAAGGCCAGATTTCATTCTTTCTCATTGCCATGTAGTATTCCATGGTATAGATAAACCACATCTTCTTGATCCATTTGTCCATTGATGGACACTTAGGCTCTTTCCATGTTTTGACTATTGTTGAGAGTGCTGCTATGAACATTGGGGTACATGTGCCCCTGTGCATCAGCACTCCTGTATCCCTTGGGTAAACTCCTAGCAGCGCTATTGTTGGGTCCTAGGGGAGTTCTATTGTTAATTTTTTGAGGAATCTCCACACTGTTTTCCAGAGGGGCTGTACCAGTTTACATTCCCACCAACAGTGTAGGAGGGTGCCCGTTTCTCCATATCCTCGCCAGCATCTAGAGTCTCACAGGTTCCTTTCTAAGGAGCTGTTCTTTTCTGTGGGCTTTAATGTAATTTTGTTCCTATATATTTTTTCATAACCAGCTTAATACATTGAGAAGCCTATTTACTGAACAGAATATGATGCCTTCCACCCCACATGTATTTCAATATTGAAATAATACTGGCTGATTTGTGATTTTTTCCCAGAAGTATTTAAGACATTTTATTTTTCTTTTCAAATGTCAAATATTTACCTCTTGTTTCTTTGGTTTCTGTTTTGCTGTGGCCCTAATCTAATTATATAATTTACATCTGTAAGTGACAGGCAGCCTAGCTCAATGGTTAATAAGAGAAACTTTGACATCAGACTGCCGGATTCAGATACCAGCCTTGCCACTTATTGGCTCTGTGACCTTGGACAAGTGATTGAACCTCAGTTATTTCACATTTAAAATGGGGATTATAGGGGCGCCTGAGTGGCTTAGTCGGTTAAGCGTCCGACTTTCGCTTAGGTCATGATCTCGCGGTTCGTGGGTTCGAGCCCCGCGTCGGACTCTGTGCTGACGGCCAGCTCAGAGCCTGGAGCCTGTTTCAGTCTGTGACTCCCTCTCTCTCTGACCCTCGCCTGCTCGCGCTGTCTCTCTCTCTCCTAGAAATAAATAAAAATATTAAAAAAAAAATAAAATGGGGATTATAATAGGATCTAGCCTCATTGGCTTGTTTTTTGGGGTTAATGTACAGCAAGCACTGCCTAGTATGTAGTGAGTTACATATATTTGGTATTTGATATTAATATAGATTGTGTGTTTTACTTGGTAATGCCTCTTCCCCCATGCTATTGAACTCCTCAGGGGCAAACACTCTACCTTATTCATCATTGCAAAATCTGGTGACTAGAGGCCATGCAGGTAATGTTTAAAGAATGAATGGATCCTCAGAAGCCAATTAAATGTGACTCCATTGGTTCTTTTGCAGACCTCTCTAAGTTTCCTGGCATATCTGGAGAAACAAGCTCTAATAGGTGAAGATAATCTGGTGTTACTGGAAGATCTCTGCAGAAAAGTTGTACCTAACCTTATGAGAAAGATAGAAAAATATAAGAAAGAGAAAGGTAACTAGCTTACACTTGCTTCCTTGCACAAGACCATGGGGATTCTTAAACTAATTGGTCATAAATGAAGTTTACTCATCACTCTGATAATATTCTCTTAGGAAAGCCAGAACTCACCCCCCATCTGCTCATTCAAGATGTATTTATTGAATGCATACTCTGTACTAGGCAGAGTTTTAGAAGTTGGAGACACAGCAGCGTATAGAGCAAAGCTCCTGCTGTCTTGGAGCTTATATTCTAGAGAAGAAAAGTTTTAGATAAATGTTTTCTCTCATTCTTACATGAGGGTGAGAGTAGAGAAAATAATATTAAATGAAATAACAAAAAAGAAGGAGGCAGGGTTGCATAAGGATGAAGAGCGAGGTCTATGGAGTCAGATTGCCAGGACTACACTTATTGATGATTCAATGGTTCTTTTCTTAGCCTTTTCTGTGTTTCACTTTCCCTGTCTGTAAAGTGGGGATAATAATACTGTCTATGTCATGAGTATTTTGAGGATTGAATGAAGTAATTCCTATAAAATGCACGTCTGGCACAGAGTAAAATATGTTGCTATGAATATGTTTGTCAGAAAGTCATGAAAACTTTCATATTCTCAGAAATTACTAACAGAATTTTATTTCCTTGTTTTTTTTCTTTAATCCTGTCTTGTAAAGGTTGTATTGCTGTGGTATTATATAGAAGTAATAGCACAGTGTGGAAGTCAAACCTGGTTGGTAAATATTTGTGTTTTTCCAGGTCTGTTTCTCCACAGTGAAATAAGAGCTGCAAATAAAAATGCATGAGTAGCTTTAATGCCACACCCATATTTTAGTTCAGTGAGTCAATCTGGTGTGCAAATGTCTTTGGTTGAAAATGAAACTAGCTAAAAGGAAACTTCTCTCTAAGAATTCTATAAATACAAAAGGAGTTGAGAGACAAAAATACTGTTGTTAAAATCCATAAAATCTCAAACAATAACAAAGCAATGAATAAATGCATAATTTAAGTGAAAGTTATGAAGAATAAAAATGATTCTTCTAACCAAAGTTATCAAGTGAGAAATAAAAAGCAGGGAGTTGATGTCGAAAATATATTTAGAATCCTTACTGAATTCTGAATGCTGAGATTTTTTAACATTACATTGCCATTTTCCTGTAGCTAGCACCCCGCACAAAGTGAACAGGGTAGGTAGTCAAATTATTTTGGATATTTGAGCTCTGGAGAAGGCACTCTAGTGTTTATGTAGTAAATGCCTCAGTGAGTCTTGACGCCTGAGTTTTATATCAGAAGAAGAATTCTAATTTTGATTTTTCTTTTCTACATCCTACATGCTGTGTGAACTCTTTTGGGTGTCAAAATAAAAAAATGTTTTCCTCTGTTATTATCACACCAATACTTCTAGAACACTTCTGACCTAGATGGATAGAATTTTTCCATACCAACCAATTCTCTAATTCTCTGCAGACACCAACTGAGTGTCCTATGATTTAATTCAATTCTGACACTAACCAGAGTTAGTACAGACCTTAACTAAATTAGGCTAAGGGTTCAGTGCCCTAAGACTGCCCCCTACTTCTGATGCCAGTCACAAGTTAGTGGGTCCCCAGAATACTCACGGCTTCTCTCCAACTTGGCTACAAACTGATGGTTCCTATGATCCCCTCCTCAGGGTCAGTAATTTGCTAGAACAGCTCACAGAACTAAGGAAGACAGTTTACCTGTATATTATAAAAATATTTGACTCAGGAACAGCCACGTGTAGGACATGGATAGGGCAAGGTATGGGGGAAGGGGGATAAAGCTTCCAGGCCCTCTCCAGGCAGCTCACTCACTCAGCATCTCCATGTATTTGCCAACCTGGAAGCTCTCCAAGCCCCTTAGTTAGAGATTTTTATGGAGGCTTCATCTGTAGGCACAGGTGCTTAAATCATTAGCCGTTATGATTTATTCAACCTCTAGTCCTTCTCTTCTCAGAGGTCTGAGTGTGGGGTTGAAAGCTCCAACCCTCTGACCACAGGCAAGCAGTCCCCCTCTAGAGGCTGTCCAGGAGCCCCCAATCACCAATCATCTTATTAGCAAAAGACACTTAGTATTTCAGAGATTCCAAGAGTTTTAGGAGCTGTGTGCCAGAAAAAAGAGGGCAGAGCCCAAATATATATTTATTATTATATCATAGATATCGATCAATATTTCAGTGTTGACTCTCTGTAGTCTTAAGAATTTGAGCTTAATTCTGTCATTTAGGATTAAGGACTAAAGGACTGAAAAAATAGTAGGTATGCAGATTTTAGACGTTTTTTTGTAAGTGAATGTGATCCAAAGTCAAAGCCCATTTTTTAAAAATGTTTATTCATTTTTTGAGAGAGAGACACACACACAGTGTGAGTGGGAGAGGGACAGAAAGAGGGGGAGAAACAGAAACCAAAGTAGGCTCCAAGCTCTGAACTGTCAGCACAGAGCTTGACACGGGGCTCAAACTCATGAACCACAAGATCGTGACCTGGCTGAAGTCAGACATTTAACTGACTGAGCCACTCAAGCACCCCATGTCGAAGTCCATTATATCTAATTAGGACACCAGCCCTATTTAAGGATTGCTTGGATACCTTCCCGAGTTTTCTTGAGTCTTGGTGTTTGCTTTAGTATTTTAAATTTCTTATTAAAAGTAATGTATCGTAATTATAATAAAATTATATAAAAATTCAAATAATGACAATAAAGAATTTATTTACTGCTGGCCCATTCCCTGGACATAATCACTGGAGTATATTTTTGTAGCCTTTCTTCTCTATATGGAGACAGTTTGTGAGTGTGTGTGTGTATAGATAGCTAGATACATATATATTTAAATAAAATCATGGTAATCATATTCTATAACTTGCTTTATTCCCACCTAATATATCTGATATTTTCTATGTACATATACAGACATAGCTCATTTTTAGTAATGGTTCCATAGAAATGCACTTCATTTACATACCATATTTATTATTAGAAAACCCGTATTTATTTAATTACCACTTTTGAATGTTTTTCTTGAATGTTTTTTTTTCTTTTCCTCCTTCCTTCCTTTTTCTTCTTTATCTGTTTTGCTATAGTCTCAGTTCTGGTTTTATGTTTTGAAGTAATGCCTTTCTTATCTCTTCTTGACCATTATCTGACACATTAAGTACCATATGTTCTGAAGCAGAAGTTAGTACAGTGTATAATAATTTTAAGGAACTAGTAAAATTATAAAAAGAATAAAAACATAAACACAATAAGAAATAAAATATAATAATACAAGGAATGAAAATACAATGATAAAGAAAGACACTTTATAAATTCCTATTTTTTCTAGGTATATATGTAGGCCTCTTTAAGCAAATGGCACTACAAATCTACAGGTCCCTATAAAATATTTTTTGATGATTGGTTATCTTGGATTACTACTAGTCAGAAGATGATTTTTGTTTTACTGTCTGTGATTCTATTTCCAGCTTCCCAGGTAGTGGCACCTTCTGTAGACAAGGAAACTGAGTCTTTGCGTCAAGGAGAGGAAGAAGTATTTTCCCATTCAGATGTTAAACAATTCTTTGGAGCCTTACCGGTAGGTTTATTGGTGTTGGTAAATGTTTAATGACCAGCTCTACTCTCCACCCTCAATTCCCTATCCCAAAAAGAAACAACAAAAAAGAGAGAAAGGAGAGAGGTACTGATTTGTAGTGTTTGGTGTATATGTTCCCATTATGACTGATTTGAAGTTACCACCTTGACATCAGTTGGATTGAAGAATTTCTGAAAATCTGACAAATGGCTCTCACTAGCTGGTTTGAGTTGACTCCAGTACACTACTGGATTGCTTTGAAATGGATTGTTTTATCTGTGCAATTTGATCAAGGCCAGCTTCCTGAATGTACAGCCTGTGCAGTGCCACATTAGCCATGCTTTTCAAATGCTCAGCTGTCACTGTTTTAAAAATTCTTAATAATGAGGGCTCCTGGGTGGCTCAGTCATTTGAACGTCTGACTTTTGATTTCACCTCAGGTCATGATCCCAGAGTCTTGGGATTGAAGCCCCATATCAGGCTCCTCACTGAGCCTGGAGCCTGCTTGAGATTCTCTCTGTCTGTCTCTGTCTCTCTGTCTGTCTCTGTCTCTTTCTCTCTACCTCTCTCTTTGCCTCTCATCCCCACTCTATCTCTCTTTCCATAAAATAAAAAAAAAATTTTTTTAAAGTTCTTTATGTATGAACAAAGGGCCTCACATTTTATCTTGCGTGGAGCCCCACAAATTATGTAGCCTGTCCTTTCCAGAGGACAATAACTGGGTTTCTATAGTGCCCAGCAATAGAAGGTTGAAGAGAGGGGAAACATTGGAAGATTTGCAATCTGTTTATTTTTATTTTTTTCCTTTTTCTTCTTCTTCTTCTTCTCCTTCTTCTTCTTCTTCTTCTTCTTTTTTTTTTTTTCTTTTTGGTGCCATAACCTGGGAGCAGTCTGTTTCTTATAACACAATCATGATCCTTGGAAGACACACACGGCATTCTTCCCTGGAATTTATGTTTCTTCCCAGCAGACTTGGGCAGTTTTAGTTTGCTAACATCTAACAGCATCAGTGAAGTTATCTTGGCCTTGGATATTTATTTGTGATAAAAGACAACATAAAATTTACCATCTTAATCATTTTTAAGTGTACAGTTCAGTTCTATTAAGTGCATTTATATTGTTGTGTAACTAATCTCCAGAACTCTTTTTATCTTGCAAAACTCAAACTCAATATCTGTTAAACAGTAACTCCCCATTCCCCCCTCCCACCAGTTCCTGGCAAACACCATTCTATTTTCTATCTTTGTGAATTTGACTACTCTAGGTACCTCATATAAATGAATTCATATAGTATTTGTCTTTTTGTGACTGGCTTATTTCACTTTATGTAATGTCCTCAAGGTTCAACCATGTCACAATTTTCTTCCTTTAGAAAGCTGAACAATATTTCATTGTGCGTATGTACCATATTTTGTTTATGTGTTCATAAACAAACAGACATATGTTTGATGGACATATGGATTGCTTCCGCCTTTTGGCTGTTGTGAATTAATACTGCTATGAACATGGGTATACAAAAAGCATGACCCAGAAGATCATGCTTTCAGTTCTGGGTATTTACCCAGAAGTGGAAATGCTAGATCATATGGTAATTCTGTATTTCACTTATTGAGGAAACTTCATACTGTTTTCCATGACAGCTGCATCATTTTTCATTTCCTCCAGTAAAGCATAAGGGTTCTATTTTCTCTAAAACCTTGCCAACACTTGTTATTTTCTTGTTTTTTTGATAGTAGTCATCCTAATATGTATGGGGTGATATCTCATTGTAGTTTTGATTTGCATTTCCCTAATGATTACTGATGTTGAGCACCTTTACATGTGCTTTAGCCATTTGTGTTATCCTTCTTGGAGAAATGTCTGTTGAAGTCCTTTTGCCCATTTTTTATTGGATTGTTTGTGGAAGTTTTATTTTTTATACTTAAAATTTCTTTCATAGCTTTACTACTTTCATGGTTTCATGTTTTTACAGTTACAATTTTTTATTCTTAAATTTAGAAATAATTTCAATCTTATGGAAAAGTTGAAAGAAAGTGAGTAATACTAAGAACGCTGTGTACTGTTTTACCAGATTCACTTCCTGTTGTTGACTTTTATACCATTTGTGTTTGCCTTTGCTTTCTTTCTCTGTCTTTATCTATCTACCCACCTATCTATCATCTATCTATCTAAACACACATAATTTTTTTCCAAACTTTTTGAGAGTATCTTGCACATGTCATGGCCCTTTACCCCTGAATATTTCCTATGTATTTCCTAAGAATAAGGATATTCTTTTACATAACTATAGTACAGTTATTGATGCCAGTAAAGTTTACTTAATACAATACTTTCAGCAAGTTGAAGTTCCACATTTCAGTTTTTTCTGTTCATCAAATAATATATCCTTTATAGCTTTTTTCCCCTTCCAATACATAATTTATCTGGGATCATTATTGTACTTAGTTGTCATGTCTCTTTAGTCTCCCTTAATCTTGAACAACTTTTCTTTATGACATTGGAATTTTTGAAGAATATAGTCACCTTCACTATCACCTTTTATTAAAAAAATAGAATTTTCTTCATTTTTGATGTGCATGGTATTGCCTGTTTTTTGTTTCAAGCTTTATATATTCTGGCAGGAATACTACCTAAATGATGTACCCTTCTCAGGGCATCACATCTGGAGGCAATGGTATCTATCTCCCCTCCGTTTGTGATGCTAATTTTGCTTGTTTGGTCAAGGTATTGTCTGATTTCTTCACTATAATTTTGTATGGTTGCTATTTCTTCCCTGCAACTTGTAAGCAAGTGGTGGGGAGACATTTTAAAACTGTACAAATATCCCACTCTCCATCAAGAATTTCCCCTAGATTTCATATTCATTGATGATTCTAGTGTGATTCAGTATTTACTATGTTGATTGAAAAGCAGTGATTTTCAAACTCCAGTATTTTCTCCACATTTAAGTCAGCACTCAGCATTCTGTTATATGCAAGAGCCCTCATTTCTCCGCCAAAAGTTTTTTTTTGCCCACTAAACTTAATCCTTCTCTGCACCTACTTTTTAAACTAATTTTGTGTATACTCAGATACTTCCGTGCATGTAGAAAATACACACACACAGGACTTTGCTCTTTGCTTCATAGAAATTCAGTAGTTTCTAAGGGGTGTGGCTCAGCCTTGGCATGTAGAGTACTGCTATTTTGCTGACCTCAGAGGATTCTGGCTATGGCCAGATGAAGATGGGGGTACTTTTCGTGGTACTTAGAGAGTATAGGAAGCTTTGGGAGGCAGCACCTCACATTACATGCCTTCTCCTAGACTCTCAAGGTCAGAAGGTGTCTGAAAAGTTATCTAGGCAGGAAACCATCAGAATCCTAGAGGAGAACACGGGCAGCAACCTCTTTGACCTTGGCCATAGCAACTTCTTACTAAACATGTCTCCAGAGGTGAGGGAAACAGAAGCAAAAATGAACTCTTTGGACTTTGTCAAGGTAAAATGCTTATGCATTTTATGTGAAGGAAGAGTCAACAAAACTAAAAGGCAGCCTATGGAATGGGAGAAAATATTTGCAAAAGACATATTGGATAAAGGACTAGTATTCAAAATCTATGAAGAACAATAACTCAGCACCAAAAATATAAATAATCCAGTTAAGAAATGAGCAGAAGACGTGAACAGACATTTCTCCAAAGAAGACAAACAAATGGCTAACAGACACAAGAAAAGATGCTCAATATCACTGATTATCAGGGAAATACAAATCGAAACCATGATGAGATACCGTTTCACACCTATCAGAATGGCTAAAATGAACAACTCAGGAAATAGTAGATGTTGGCAAGGATGCAAAGAAGGGGAACCCTCTTACACTGTTGGTGGGGATGCAAACTGGTGCAGCCACTCTGGAAAACAATATGGAGGTTCTTCAGAAAGCTAAAAAAGAATTACCTTACAACCCAGCAATTGCACTACTCAGTATTTATCCAGAGAACACAAAAATACTGATTCAGAGGGGTACCTGCACCCCAATATTTATAGCACCACTATCAACAATAGCCAAACAATGGAAAGAGACCATATGTTCATCAACTGATGAATGGTTAAAGAAGATGGAGTATTACTCAGCCATCAAAAGGAATGAAGTCTTGCCATTTACAATGATGTGGATGGAACTAGAGTGTATCATGCTAAGGGAAATAAGTCAGCGAAGAAAAAATACTATATAATTTCACTCATATGTGGGGTTTAAGAAACAAAAAACAGATGAATATAGGGGAGGGGAGGGAAAATAAGGCAAAAACAGAGAGGGAGGCAAACCATAAGAGACTCTTAAATACAGAGAACAAACTGAGGGTTGCTGGAGGGGGTGGGTAGGGGAATGGGCTAAATGAGGGATGGGCATTAAGGAGGGCACTTGTGATGAGCACTGGGTGTTAAGTGATGAATCACTGGGTTCTATTCCTGAAACTAATACTGCACTATATGCTAACTAACTTGAATTTAAATAAAATCTTGGAAGGAGAAGTAAATAAAGTAAAATTTGAGTATTTGGGATATTAATAAAAAACTTATCTAGGCAATCCTGGTCCCGGATAAAATGAAACTGATAAATCATATCATGTTTCATTTTCACCTTAGAGGTTTTCTTACACAAAAGAGCACTGCCAACCATTGCATTTAATGAGAAGAAACTGTATTTCAAGTAACACCCCCTAGTTAATTAAATTGATTTACATTAAAAAGCAAATCAATATTTTTGAGTGTGGCATATGATTTTCTTAAAGAGAGACATATGATTTCTTAATATTAATATTAAGACATATTAATTTCTTAATCTTTGTTGAAGAGATGTAACAGCAGCTTCTTACTGGCTTATTGGATCCTTGTTATTTGAAAACAGTGGAAAGAAGACCGAGCATGGCTAGGCAGTGGGTCGGTCGTTCGTTCATTCATTCATTCATTCATTCATTCATTCATTCATTCTCTCTGACAGAGATTTGGAAGGGAATCAACAGAAGATGCAGCATTTTCAGAGAAAGGGCCAGGCTGACCTTAAAGATTATTTCTAGTCCCTGTTCTGGCTGATTATATCAGTGCAAGGAAGGAGACAAATCAAGGAAACCCGGGTCCTGGGGATACTGGGCAGAGCCTGCTGCTGTATCTGTGTGGCCCTTAATTCCAGAAAAATTCACTCAACTGCTTTCAAAACCAATTGGATAAACCCAGAAAACAGCCTGGTTGGTCCTTGGATGTCTCTGAGAGAAACTAATATTTTTCAGGAAGGAAAATATGGCTTGCAAAAAGAAAGGCCGGAAGTGTTTTGGAGAGTGAAACTAAAGTTCTTTTGCATTTGTTCCCTCAAAGTTGGGGAATTCTGGTATAGTGCACCCTGGGAGTGAGGTGGTGCACCTTTGGACTGGCTTGAAGATAAACCCCTCTCTTGCAGCCAGAAGCTTGGTGGGCTCCAGCAGGGACACATCCCCAGGAACTTGGGGGTGACTTGCCAGTCACCTCAAACAGGTCTCCTGGTGCCACGCAGCATATGGCCAGTGGCAGCGTTAGCCCGTCCCCAGAACCCCTGTGGGGCTTTCTGCTGTAGGCTGAGGGTAAGGGGTTTGCAGGTGGACTGAATGGGGTAGATCATACACAAAAGAGGAGGGCCCCAGGCTATGTTTCAATTTTGCATTTAATGATATAAAACGCTTATGTAAGCCCAAAGTAAAAACTATCAAGAGAGTATACTCAGGGGAGGCTCTATTGCATTCTTGCCCCTCTTCCCCTCCCTCCATAGATTACCATTTTTATTAGTTTATTTTATTTTATTTTTTTTTAAATGTTTTATTTATTTCGAGGAGAGAGAGAGAGAGACAGCGTGAGCAGGGGAGGGTCAGAGAGAGAGGGAGTCACAGACTAGAACAGGCTCCAGGCTCTGAGCTGGCAGTCAGCACAGAGCCCGACGCGGGGCTCGAACCCACGAACCGCGAGATCATGACCTACGCGAAAGTCGGACGCTTAACCGACTAAGCCACCCAGGCGCCCCTTTATTAGTTTATTTTTAATTTATCCTGTTGTTACTGTTGAAAAAAACCCAGCCATCTATCCCTTTATTATAAATGAGGTGCCCCATTGAAATATTATTCTTCACTTGACTTCTGTCATGTAATGGTGTCCCCTTTACAGAAATTGTCTTTTGTATCCTGCTCCATAGCTCTTGTACCCACTTCTTAGTGGTGGACACTATTTCTGGGTTATTTCTGGACTTTAGTTATTTCCAATAATGCTGCAATGAATAAAAATATCTTTGTGTATATGTCATATTATAATTTTGCCACTGTGTCTTTGTGAGCCTCCTTCTCTGAAAGGAGAGAGTTGCCTTTTTTTTTGGTCGTCACTTGCTGCTGAACTTTTCTGTGGCTGGGGATTAGGTGTCTCTCCTTCTCTGCATCCAGTCCAGCTTTTTGGCCCTCATCCTAACTGTGTGGACTTCCTGCATTTCATTCCTTTCCTGTTTCCTCAACAGAGGGTTTCCTGGCAAGATCAGCCCACGAGGAGTAATGGTAGATGTTTCTAACACATAACTTGGATCAGTATGGCAGAAATAGGACCATCTGATAGTTACCAAGTAATTTGAGATGTCTTGGGGGAGAAAGATAACAAATTAGTGGAAACTCATTTCTTATCTCATTTCAGGCATGGATTCTACCAGGCTTTTCTGTGGGAGGATGGAGAGGAATGGGTGGTTTGTTCTCTGAAACCCTTGCACAACAGCATCTGGGGAATGCAGGCATCTGCTCTCCTTCTACTCTTCAGAATTAGATCACCCTCTGTAAGGAGGGAAGGAATATTTGGTAGGGCTGAAACCCACAGGCCAGCATGACAGAGCAGAATGTTGACTCTGTGAGAACATCTGATGTCATGTGGCTCCAGAGGCTGCTTGTATTTTTCAGAGGGAGAGGCCAGAGGGAGGGACTTGGCAATGGTGTATTTAGTGCCCTGGATTCTTGCCCAAAAACCATGACCTTAGGAAGATATTACAGAATCTGCTACAGGGTTAAGCAGCTTATGAGCAAGTTTTTGGCATAGTCTCTCTGTGATGTATAAAGTTTATAAGAGGCCATTCCTTATTTTTTTTTTTCTGGAGATTTAAACTTCGGAGTCCAAACACTTAACATTCCTAGGAATCTCTGCTTTCTGCCTAAGCAGGAGATTGCATGATAGAATGTTGGTGAGAGTTACCATTACTGACCACTTGTCATGTGCTAGGCAGGCACTGTTCTAAGAGCTTTCTAGGGCTTATCTTATTGAATCCTCCAATCCAGAGGTAAGTACTACTGCTATTCTCACTTAATTATAAGGAAACGGAGACTCAACCTGTCTAGTACTTTCCTAAAGGGACACACAACTAGTGAAGCTGGGATCTGAAGCCAGGAGTCTGACTCCAAGCTCACCCTCTGAAGACCTGGTTCTACCACTGTGTAGCTTCAGCCACTCAGGCAATTGCTTCCCTTCTCTGAAGAATAAGTGAGTTTCAGTTTTGCAATTCTGTGGTTTGGAAGTTTGGACATGGCTTCCTTGGAGTGTTACCTTCCCCCAACGTGAGGAGGAATTTACAGGTGCTCTGTACAACTGAAGTTTGGCTTCTTTTTGCTGTGTTCTGTGGTCTGGGGATACTGGATTCACTCAGCCTGAGCTGTGCACCCAGGAGTGACCCTTAACTATAGTTAATAACTAACTCAGGCCTTAGAGACGAGGGCAGAGCTTGTTGGATTCTACTGAAAACTTGCTGGGTGTGGGAGAAGAAAAATTTCAAGTTTCATTTTCCTGTACTACCATGTGACAATGCATCACTGGCTTCATCTCTGTGGTGGATTCGTATTTAGAGGAACCAAGGAATTTGCAGGAATCCTTCAAAGCAATGTGATCTTTAGCCAATGCCAAAGACATGACTGAAAGAATCCTGGGCCATGGACTGATTTTTGCCTTACCCAGACTGGGTTCTCTGGGATTTCTTTCCCCTCACCCCCTCTTCTTCCTGGTGTCCATCCAGCCTCTCTATATCCAGTAACGGATAGATGCTTACCTTAATGCAGCCAGGCTTTCTGCCAGAAACACTTGAGCTGATTCATGTAATCTTGACTCTCAACGCATCCTCTGTAAGGAAATCTAAATCTTTGGGAAAAGGTATTTGAAGAGTCTGAGAACTCTTTCAAGGTGACAGAGAAACCAGGGTCTCCATAGAAATGTTGGAAGCATCTGCTGAGACTCTAACTTCTGAAACCAGCACATAGGTGTTCTCCAGCTAGGGTCCATCCCTTAATGGCTTTGAGGGCTCAGAGCTGTTTGTTTCTGTCATTGTTCTTCTTTCTGTCTCTGTGATTATCTCTCTGATTACCCCCACCTTTTTCTGAAACAATCAGAAGTGTGTTCACCTTTGCCTATGGAGGCAGTGCTGTTACCATTACAACCACACACAGTCTTTGAGTTATTTCCAGGTAGGGGAATTTTTTTTTCTGTTGACTGAAGCCACTTCTTTTCTGCTTGAATCAAAGATATACCTTATTTTTAGGAGATCATTTCAGCCACACAGAGGCCCCACTGAAACCAACTCAATGCATTTGTAATCACATGCTGTTTACAATAACTTTCAGAAATAATTGCATGTCTTTTATTTTATTTTATTTTATTTTAATGTTTTATTTATTTCTGAGAGAGAGAGAGTGTGAGCAGGGGAGGGTTGGAGAGAGAGGGAGACACAGAATCTGAAACAGGCTCCAGGCTCTGAGCTGGCAGTCAGCACAGAGCCCGACGCAGGGCTCGAACCCACGAACCGCGAGATCATGACCTCAGCTGAAGTCGGATGCTTAACTGACTGAGCCACCCAGGTGCCCCAATTGTACATATTTTAAAATTCTCACTGTGATCTCTGCAAGAGAGACTTCTCTGTTTTCAGAGGAGTCAGATCACTCCAGGATCTTACCATCTGAAAAAGAACTAAACATTTGATATATTTGTTGTCTTGTTAGATCCTTAGTTATGCTTCCTTCACTTTGCTAATCCAAAAAGGAAGATTTGGGGTGCCTGAGTGGCTCAGTCAGTTGAGAGTCTGACTTTTGATTTTGGCAAAGGTCCTGAAATCGAGCCCTGTCTTGGGCTCCATGCAGAGCATGGAGCCTGCTTGAGATTCTCTCTCTCTCACTCTCTCTCTCTCTCTCTCTCTGTCTCCCTCTGCCCCTCTACCTGGCTTGAGCTAGCTCTCTCTCTCTTTCCCTAAAAAAACCCCACAAAAACCAAAAAAGAAAACAGAAAGGAAGATGCTTTTGCATGAGCTTTTGATTTGCCAGTTAAAATACATATTCTGTTATTTAACACTGCTAATTGACATTCTGCTATCAAACTGAATGAAGTCTGTATTTTTATCAGTACCTAGCATTTCACCTCGGACTTAACTGAGTAATTCTAAACCAGGACCACAACCTTGAGAACTCTCAGCCTTTGGTACTAATAAATGAAGTGATTGGTTAGAAACATTAAACCCTTAAAATGAGGATTACCTAATAAGTGGTTCTATTTCTTCTTTCAAGGAAACAACTGTGTACAGGATGGATCGGAAGCACAGAGGCCACTGTGTTATTGTCAATAACCACAGCTTCACCTCACTCTCAGATCGACGAGGGACTCATAGAGATGCTGGTAAGAAAATCTGAATAGTTTATAAGATGCAAGTTGGGGATCTTAAAATCATTTTTAAAAAATTTTTACGTTTTCTTTCTGTAATTTTTACCTTCCATTTAGATGTAAGGATGATATTGGAAACCTGGGTGGCTCAGTCAGTTAAGTGTCTGACTATAGCTCAGGTCATGATCTCAGGGTTCATGGGTTGGAGTCCTACATTGGGCTCTTTGCTGACAGCGCAGAGCCTGGAGCTTGTGCAGATTCTGTCTCCCTCTCTCTCTGCCTCTCACCTGTTCAGCTCTGCCTCTCTCTCTCCTTCTCTCTCTGTCTCAAAAATAAATAAATATTAAAATAAATTAAATGTAAGGATGATATCATAAATGTTCTAAGTCTCTTGTATATCTGAGGTGTCTTAGTCTACCTGGGCTGCTATAATGAAATACTGTAAACTAGATGGTTTTTAAACGATACACATTTATTTCTAACAGTTCCGGAGGCTGGGAAGTTCAAGGTCAAGGCTCTGACATTTTGGTGCCTGGTGAGAGCCTGTTTCCTAGATGGCAGTCTTTGCTGCATCCTTACATGGCAGAAGAGCTTTCTGGCGTCTCTTTATGGGCTCTACCCTCATGACCTAATCACCTCCCAAAGGCCCCTCTTCCTCATACCCTCACTTTGGGGGTTAGTATTTCAACATACGAATTTTAGGGGGACACAGACATGAAGACCATAGCATATCACTAATATGCTGAAAGAGCAAAAGTAGTCCCTGACCATTTACAACTCTGTAGGTTGGCAGAAAGCATGGTGCATCAGCAACAGAGAACTTGGGTTTGAGTTCTGGCTCCACCACAAACTAGTTTGTAACTGTGGGTGAGTCCTGGGGCCTTGGCTTCCTCATTTGTGAAACAGGATGAAACTCTGGTCTCTGCTGAGTCTCAGGACCGTTGTGATAGTGCTGTGGGTACTATAAGAAGGTAGGTAAATTATAAAATTTTATTGTTATGAAAGTAAAAAAAAAATCCAAGCTTCAGGTTACTTGCTGTGCAAGTTTTATAACTATTAACATTGGAACAATGTTCCACCCCTTCATTTTATTTCATTTTACTCTATTTCATTTTATTATTTCCCCTTTCTTTTCTTTCTTTCTTTTTTTTTTTACAGAGTGCTTGGAGCGTGTGTTTCAGTGGCTTGGGTTCAGCGTACATATATATCATAATGTGACCAAAGGGCATCTGGATGAGGTTCTGAAGGAATATAAGAGTCATCCAGGCCATGCTGATGGAGACTGCTTTGTGTTCTGTGTTCTGACCCATGGGAAATTTGGAGCTGTCTACTCTTCAGATGAGGCCCTCATTCCCATTCGGGAGATCATGTCTCACTTCACAGCCAAGCAATGCCCTGGCCTGGCTCATAAACCCAAACTCTTTTTTATCCAGGCCTGTCAAGGTGAAGAGATACAACCTTCTGTATCCATTGAAGCAGATGCTGTAAATTCTGAGCATGCACCTCCTCCCCCTTCCCTTCAGGCCAGTGTTCCCATTGAGGCAGATTTCCTTCTTGGCCTGGCCACTGTCCCTGGCTATGTTTCCTTCCGGCATGTGGACGAAGGCAGCTGGTATATTCAGTCTCTGTATAATAATCTGAAGAACTTGGTCCCAAGGTGAGACATTTGAGTTGTACCGTACACCTACCTGTTTATCCATCTATCTACTTACCTGTTTGTCTGCCCGTGCATCCACCTGTGCATCTATCTGTCTGTCCATCCATCCATCTACTCATCTATCTGTCCATCTGTCTATCCATCTATTCATCCATCATCTATCCATCCATCCATCCAAATATCTGTCCATCCATCCAACATCTATTGATCCAATAAACCTATGTTGAGCATTAGCATATAACTAGAAAGGAAGATAAAGAATTAAAAAAAAAAAAAACACCACACAGTCCCTGCATTTGAGTTGCTCACAGTCTAGAGGAATAGGAAAAGTAGATGGGAGAAGAGCATCCCGTGGCAAATTCACATTATAAAGCATAGGTGTTATGGAAACATACAGAACTAGTACCTCACCCAGATTTGAAGGATAAGGGAAAGCTTCTAGAGATGACAAATAGATGTTAGGTAAATAATTTGGGCAAAAGAAATGTTGGGCAGAAGGAAATAGTATAAATAAAGGAGGGCCTTTTGTTTGTTCATTCATTTATGTATCAGTTATGTTTACTGAGTGCCTATGAGTTGCCTTTGGCATTATATCTTTTATCTCCTGCCAATGTTCTGACAACTTTCCTTCTGTATCTGTCACATGCTCCTTACCTGGTATCCTGGAAATGGGCCTTCATCACAGTTCTGCCCTGGACCCCATTCTCTGTTCTTTTAGCTTTGGGCAGCTTTATTTATACCCTGGAGGCTACTTGACATCCATAAAAATGTCTCCAAAATTGCCATCTTTGGTCCATTAATATCTGAGTTTTTGGAGAGCAAAGTTGTTTCATTCAACTTTATGTCTTTAGCACCTGACACAGTACCTGATATATTGTTGAGCTTGATAAATATTTGCTGTTAAGGACTGACTGACTGAGTGAATCTCATTCTTTGGGGTCAGTCCAATACATTTCTTACAGCCTACCAGACATCCCACTTCCTTGTTGCCCTTGGCGCTCAATTCGGTATGCATAGTCCTTGATTCATCTTCTAGCCCTCTCTAGCAGCCTCCTTTTCCTGAATTCACATTTCTAGAAATGGTCACAATTTTCTGGAAATTCAGAACTAGGAATTCAGGATTGGAACCGTGAGTCAACCTTAGCTTTTCCGTCTTCTTCATTAATCTTAATCTTTTTAATTAATGGAGGGATCTCCATCCCCACCATACCCATCATAAACCAATGTCCTATGACTTCAAAGACAGGGTGGACTTATCAAGGACTTACTATGTGTCTACTGTCCTGGGTACTGAGCTAGGGTATGTTATGAACAAGAGATACAGAATGTCTTCTCCATGGAGTTTATGGACCAGTAAGTTAGTGTATGTAAGAAGATAAATATTTGAATTAATAAGATAATTTCAAGAAGTGCTCCCTGCTATGAAGAAAACAAATAAGATATTATAGAGAATGCCGCAGAGAGCTACTTGAGAAGGCTTCTTGGTAGAGGTGATATTTCAAGTGAGACTAAATTTAGGATATGAGTCAGCCACAGGAAGATCCAGAGGCAGAGAAAACAGCTGTGTGAGACAGGATGCAAGGACTAAGAACCAGACAGGGCCTGATGTCCCACTTTAACATAGCAATGATGATGAGGACGAGTAGTGGCAATGCTAATAATACTAAAAATGATGGTCAGTGGAATATTATAAAAATGATGGTCAGTGGAATATTATAGCCAGTGTTCTATGTGCTTTACATAAATTTACCTCATTTACTTCTCATGGCAGTCCCTAAAATGAGTATTCTTATGGTCCTTATTTTAGAGCTGAGAAAACAGAGGCATATTTAGTGTGAAGTAAGTGACTGTGCCTAAGACCACATGGTCAGCGAGTGATGGAACCATGCTTCAATCCTGAATTCTGTTTTCAGAGCCTATGCTTTTTTTCCCCCAGTGGTATGAATTGCCTATCCCTGGAGCATTTTGGCAAATGTTAAATATCCTGCAATCCCAGGCTCAAAAGCCACCTCCTCTATGGAATCCAGGAAGTGCTTTTTTTCCTCTGAACTTGCAATGGAACTTTGTCATACTTTTCATATGGTGTTGATCACATTCTGCCTTATAGTGTCCATTTTGTGTGTATGCCATATTTGGTACATGCTTCATGTCTGCATTTGAAGTTCCTAGAAACTGTGTCATGTTTATCTTTGTATATTCTTCCTCAAACCAAGAACAGAGAGGACATTATTTATTCATTTATTTACTTATTTATTTATTTACTTATTTGGGGCTTTAAATTTTTATTTATTTATTTTTATTTATTTTATTTTTTTAAAAGTTTATTGTTAAGTTGGTCTCCATATAACACCCAGTGCTCATCCCCACAAGTGCCCTCCTACATGCCCATCACCCCCCTATCCCTACCCCTTTCCCCCATCAGCCCTGTTTGTTCTCAGCATTCAAGAGTCTCTCATGGTTTGCCTCCCTCCCTCTCCCCCACCATTTTTCCCCTTCTTCTCCCCCGTGGTCCTCTGTTAAGTTGAGAGGGCATTATTAATAGTAGGGTCCCTTGGGGCAACTGGGTGGCTCAGTCAGTTAAGCGTCCAACTCTTGACTCCTGCTCAGGTCATGATCTCATGGTTTGTGGGTTTGGACCCTGTGTCAGGCTTTCCATGCTGACAGGGTAGAGCCTGCTTGGGATTCTCTCTTTCTCTCTTTCTGTTCCTCCCCAACTTGTGCACATGCACATTCCCTCAAAATAAACTTTAAAAAAAAGTACGGTCCTTCTCTATCACCTACCTATTTATTCTATCTATCTATCTATCTATCTACCTACCTACCTACCTACCTACCAGCTTGGAGAAGAAACATGAAAAAATAATTATATGCAAACTTCCTTTGTGGACCAAAGGCCTTAAAATGTAAGTTGTGGGGCACCTGTCTGGCTCAGTCAGAAGAGCATGAGACTCTTAATCTTAGGGCTGTGAGTTCAAGCCCCATGTTGGGTGTAGATTCCTTAAAAAAAAAAAAAAAAAAAGGGCACCTGGCTGGCTCAGTCGGTTAAGCATCAAACTCTTGATTTTGATCAGGTCATGGTCTCATGGTTCATGAATTCGGGCCCTGGACCAGGCTCCACACTCTCAGCATGGAGCCTTCTTGGGATCCTGTCTTTCCCTTTCTCTCCCACCCCCGCCCCCTCAAAATAAATAATATATAAATAAACTAAAAAAAATTAAAATGCAAGATGTGGCTATTATAGTGTTCTTAAGCACTAAATGTAATATTGAAAACTTTTATATAATTTAGCATTTCTTTTTTTAATTTCAAAATAAGCATTTCTTTATATTTGAGAGGATACCGGTTAGAATTTTGGCCTGTTAGATTAGGAAGAAGCCACGTGTTTTAGGATTTCTTTTTATGACCTGGTATGTGATTTCTGTGCCCTCATGGAAAGTATTTTTTTTTTCATCTGCCCGCAGACATGAAGATATCTTATCCATCCTCACTGCTGTCAACAATGATGTGAGCCAACAAGCAAACAAAAACGGAACAAAGAGACAGATGCCCCAACCTGCTTATACACTACGGAAAAAACTAGTATTCCCTGTGCCACAGAAAAATCTTTAATTGTAGTGTGGAGTTCTCAATGACTCTTTGACTTGAAAGAAACTTTTGGTCATCTCTTCCAATCTCCTACCCATCATAAGAATCAGTGATAGATGGTGAGCCTGTCATTCCAATAATAGGAAATATCCTATTTTATGACTCAAAATTCTTTTTTTTTTTTGACAAGTCTAATTGTTAGAACACTTTCTTTATTGAAGCCTTGGATTGTAGTCTTTGCACTAGTTGTGCATGAGCAAAAGCAATTGTCCTTGGTTTGTGCATCTGTGAGGTAAAAGGTAGTATGAGGTACATTTTAAGGTTCCTTTGAACTCTAAAGAACCACTATTCTTAACCTCCACTGAGCTTTGATTTCCTCTGTGTATGACTACCCCTTGTGATCATTCAGTGTCCCCTCTGTATGGCCTTGTTTTGGACATTGGATAATGATAAGATCACACAGGCTTCTCATCTACACATCTACTGGGGTGATAATTTTGTCTATACAATGACCATTTCCTGCTTTAGTATAAGGAAAGGGTTCCTACAAGAACTGTTGATCTTGGGTTGGGAACAGGTTTGGTTCTAGGAAGATGATGGTTCTTCTAGAGACAACTCAGCCACTCTGGGAGCAGAGACTTTACAACCTGAGGTTAAATTCCCTGCTGATTAGAACTTTTCAGATGCTGATGACAGAACACCCACGTCAAACCAACCAAAGCAAAGAAGGGAATTTATTGCCTCATTCATCTAAAAACACAATTGGGTAGTGTTGGCTTCAGGTGAAGCTTGAATCAGGACTCAGTCTGCACGGTAGCATCTCTCTTGTAACTTCTCTTGGTGGCTGTACTGTGCCAACTACAGTCAACAGCCCCTGCCTTGTCTCCAACATGCTCTGTTTCTCTGGCCTAAAGAAGTGAGGAGAGAGGCAGCCTTAAGGATGAAGCTATTCACAAAAGTTGTTGTTCCCTCCTTAGAGAGTTGTCTGATTATGCCTTGTGTTTGTGTGTGTGGGGGGTATGGTTCTGTATGGAAGCCTTCCTACTTTTTACATTAAGGTTTTGAATATCTTTATGTATGTAAACATTTTTTTCTATTTCAAGAGGAATTTTTCTTCCTTTTTTTTTTTTTCCTAAAAGAGGGAGATTGAAAGTCCTGTACTTAAAGCCTTTATTTATAGATGAAGAGTTTGAGTTTGCCTAAGAAGGCAAAGTGATTTGCTCTACTCCCCCAGCCAGTTATTGTTGACAGGGTTTTATTTCCCACTTGAGTGAACTGGAATGTTAAGGGACATAACAAGGATTTAGGAACATTTCCTTGAATATGTAGACATCCATGAAAGATATTTGGGAAAGAAGAAGAAGAACTCTTAGTGATGCCTGATTTTGTAATTATTAATGTGAAAGTCAAATTGATTTATGGTGTATTTGCTATGAGAAATATTCATAAGCAGTTTTTTAAAAATTATATAGCTGATATACATGGATTTGAATGTACCTTGGCCAAGGAAATGAGTCGAATATAGATGTCAGGATTTTCTTTCAAAACCTTTGTATATACAAGTCAAAGCGAACAGCTGGTAATTACAGTCCTTCCCAAATTGAATATACACAGCTTTTGGCCACTTTGTAGTCCTCCGCAAGTGAAGGATGGGGTGGTACAAAACAAAGAGCAAAGGATCTGGAAACAAGCGTTTTGGTTTCCATTTTGCCTTGTGACTCTCTTGCTCTGAGACACTAAGTGAAACTAGTTTTTTTGAGCCTTATCTATAAAGTACAGAAAAATTACCTATTTAAGGTAAGGATGAGGTGAGTGTAAATATTCATTTAAATCTAGTTGTTGTGAGGTGTGTATAAGACCTTTCACGGTGGATAGTTCTGGCAGTCACCTAACTGGAAATATAATTTGAGTTCCTTTGTGTCTTAATTCCAGCTGAATTTTAGCCACAAATCAATACTAGCAATACCCACTGATGTTCTCTTAGTGAAGAGTTGGTTCTTTGCTCACTGATTCACAATGTCCCCGGCAGCAGCAGGCTAGCTCTTGGCTCTGAATCCATCTGGACAAAACGTTACTAATGAATTCTCCTTCCTCAGCAACATTTGGTGTCTGATGCAGTCCCGGTCCTGTGGTTTATTTCATATTTTTGTTTTGCTGCACCTTACTGCTTGTACAAAGTTAAATTCTAGGATCGGGAAACTTTCCCATGAACTTTCTGTTCAGAGTTCCCCAGTGAGCACTTTAGGGATCACTAGACATTTATGTCTGTAAGTCACATGCTTATGCAGACACCAGGAGTACAATCATCCTTCAGTCATTTCTCCTAAATGGAGCATCTACACACTTGTCCCTTGTCTGTGTGTGTGTGTGTGTGTGTGTGTGTGTGTATGAGAATTTAGAGTGAAGCCCAACAGGTGATTTGGTCACAGCTGTTCAGCAGAGGCTACCGCCATTGGCTGTGCAGACATTTGTGAAAGAAATGCACAGACCAGTGAGGTTTCTGTATATTTTGCCTAGTTTTGCTCAACCTACAAGAGTTGCAGTTATATATTTTTTTGTTTTCTGGGTTTTTTTCCTGAAAAGTTGGGTTTCTACCAAACAACATAAAGGACGTGAAAACTTTTTATAGGATATTATGCAAATGTCGGTTATTTAATACTACTACTACTGGTGTTGATTATTATTAGAGATGTTAGTCACCACAGCTTCCTACTGGCCTCTGCTGCAGGGCGTCACCATGATAGTGGGATGGTGTGATATCACCAACATTTCCCTTAGCCAGTGCTCAGGTAATTCGAACATACAAGCATCTGGTGCAGTGTGGTTACTGACCACTTAGAACAGACATTGACCAGTATGTATAACACTATGGTGAATGCTGCTGAATAGCAGCCCCTTATCAATCAACAATCAAGCTTCCGCTGAGGTAGACCAAATAAGAAGTTTACCTCATTTTGTAGATAACTTTTGTGCCATATGTGATTCACAAAATCTTCTAAGTGAGATACTTTCTGAGTGATTTAGTTAAGTTGTTCTCAACCTTGTAATTCTTGGGTCCTTGGATGTTTGTTGGTTATTCTCAGGGTCTATGAGTTCTCCGCCTTCACTTTGAAGTGCTAGAATTCCTTTTTGGTGATCATCTTAAACATTAATAGATGCATACTGGCTCTTCTGCATGATCACTTCATATTTGAGCAGTGCCAAACAACTTTTGTGCCCACACCCTGGTGCCCGCAGAAAGTGATGAACTTTACATTGAGCTTTTTAAGGTAGCATAGATTAGGGTCCATGGCCAGAGGTACTCAGATTTATTGTCAGGCACCAGTGGTTAATCTGTTTGAAACCTGTTCCAGTTCATCCTCTTAAGCCATGATAGACTCCTAGTCCACCATCCCTCAACCCCTGCTTAACTCTCAGCAGAGGAAACTCACACTACACACAAAGTTGTGGGCTAGGGAGTTTGGAAGGACCCTAGAGAACCCATGGTCCAGACTTCAGGATATTAAGAGGATTACTAAAGTCTTATAGCTGTTAGTGGAGGATTTGCAATCCTGTGTATTTCCTGATTTGCAATCTTGCTGCCTGGTTTTACTTTTGGACAGCTTTAATTGTTCTTTTCCCCGTGGCGACTTGAGTCTACCTGCTTAGAACATACTTGAATGCACCGCCTCTCATTTTAAACTCTGGGAGCCATACCAAACACATATAACTGTCTTCTGGTGAAGTACATGTTTCATGTGACAAGGTATTTAATTTTCTTTCTGGTAGGGTCTGGCTCTCCTCAAAATTCTGCAGGGGTTCCTGGGACTCAGTTGGCTGAGCGTCCAGCTCTTCTCAGGTTATGATCCCAGGGTTGTGATCCAGCCCTGCATTAGGCTCCACACTGGGTGTGGAGCCTGGCTGAGATTCTCTCTCTTTCCTGCTTGCTCTAAACTTAAAAAGGAAAAAAAAAAGTCTGCAGTTTGCTTTTAAGGATGTGAATATCACATTTGTATCTTTGAATAGTAGCTAAATTCCTGAAAATGGAAACCTTTTAAAAAAGCACTAGGAGAAATTCTTTGTTTAAAGAAAGACTGACTTGCTAATACAAAGAAGCATTTTATAACATAAGCATATATGAATTTTTAAAAGAGGATTTTTCTATTAAAATTTTAAGTTGTATTAATTTTTACTTTTTAAATCTATTTTTGAATAGCCAATATCTTTACATTGTTCAAAGATCAAAAAATACAAAGAGGTATTCAAGATAAGTCTTGCCTGCATTTCTGTCCACTAAATGCCCAGTCCTCCCACCTTCACATCCCAGAGATAATTTCAGAATTTTGTAATGCAAATGCAAATACAACAAACACAAATATATATGTATTTTAAAGTAGACATTTTTTTTTTTTTTTTACAAATAGTTTATTGTCAAATTAGTTTCTACATAACACTCAGTGCTCATCCCCAAAGTGCCCTCCTTCATGCCAATCCCCCCCTCCCCCCCACATCCATCAGTCCTCAGTTTTTGTCAGCATTCAAGAGTAAAGTAGACATTTTTTTAAACAAAGTACATACACTGTGAAACTCATATCTCTCATTTGGTTTCATTTTAAATGATTCTGTAAGATGCTTGGAAATACTGGTACAACTCTAGAACAGGAATAACTTTATGAGCTTTGTGGACTGGATACTTGTAAAGAGAAGTAATTGACTTACCAATAGAATAAAGGGATTTTTTTCCCCTCTTTATCTTTGAGTGATATCTTTGATTTTACCTGATAACTTTTTCTCTGCTTATATAGTAATATACACACATTGTGGAATATTTGGGAAATAGAGGAATACACAAAGAAGAAGAGTTAATTCATTTATAATTCCATTTTGGCATACGCTTTCCTACTTTTTCACTCTGCATTCATCCCTGAGCTTCCCAACCACCTTTAAATCAGCTTAACCACCATATCTTCGCAGTCATGCATCTAGTAACCTCTGTCTTTGGCAATATCTCCACCCAAATCTCTCAATTTCAAACATGCCTCTCTCTCGAAGCCACCTCCTACCAGTCCATCTCACTTTCTCTAGGCCCCTGCCTCCCAACAGTCTGCAGTGCCACTGGAGCCTCTGGTTAGTCCATTGACCCTATCTGCCATCTTTTCGAGGCCGACATTGTCCCTCACTTCTTCCCTCCCTCTACCCAGCTGGAGTCCACACGTTATCATTAGACTCACTCTCTTACACCCACCCTTGATATTCTTGCCTTTCCCTTGGTCCTAATCAGAGGGCAGAATCTAAACTTTGGTTAATCACATATACCTGCTTACTGCAGACTTGTAGTAGAATTCGTGGTTGTGGTGGGGTGGCTCTGTCAATTAAGCATACGACTCTTGGTTTCAGCTCAGGTCATGATCTCACAGTTGTGGGTTTGAGCCCCACACCAGGCTCTGTGCTGACAGTGCCTCTCTTTCTGCCCCTCCCCTGCTCTCTCTCTCTGTCTCTCTCAAATTAAATATATAAAAACTTAAAACACACACACATTGCAGACTGGTCTCATTCAAAACCAATGACCACAAACCTCAAACACACTTTCAGTGATTCTTAGCAATCCTGTAACATTTCCCTGGTTTTGTCACCTTTTGCTTTCTCAGCCCATGTTACATCTTTTGTCTTTTCAGACCTCTATCATCCTCCATTCTCCTCACTTTCATTTGATAGTCTCACTTCACTAAGGGAGGTAATCAGAAAAGATGTCCACCATCCACCACCGAGTCTCCTGATCTACCTGCACCCTAACCCTACTGGCTGCTTTCTCTCCTGTCAACAGTGGGTGCACCTTCCCATCTGGACTTCTCCCAAGAGTCAGAGCCTCTTGTGCAAGGACTGGCCCATCCTGCTCACTCGAGGATACCACTCTCATATCCCTTCTTCTCTCTCCTTCTCTATTAACTGTCCCCTCTCTCCCAGATCATTCCCCTGAGCACACAAAACATGCATGATTTCTCTTCCTTCCAAACTAAAACCAAAACAGAACCTAAAACCCTGAATGTGGATCTTCTGTCACATGATCAGAATCAGACCCTGACCACATGCAGGTGATTTGTTCAGGAATTGCTCTTCGGAGAATCCTGCAGAGGATGGGAGGTGGGACAGAGAAGGGGAGAAGACAGGCCAGGCCACACATGTTATCTCAGCGTGGCCTGGACAGAGCACTTTAAAGTGAAAATTATGCCTCAGTGTTCCCCACTCAATGGGAAGCAAGAGAATTGGGTTTCCATTCTCCCTCACCCCTTAGTCCCTCTGTCCTCAGCTAAGAGTTGCCCCAGCTGGGAGAATTTAAACATCCAGGCACTTCCCGTGGTCTGAAGGCATAGTGTCCCTAGACAACGATGTGAGTCTTTAGAAGCAAAAGCCCCTACAATCTGGCAAGCTGGCTAAACTGTCTGGAAGATGGGAGTGGGAGTGGGTGATAGGCAGAGGGGGATTAAAATGGATTAGAAAAGAGCTGCCTTCACCCCTCTTGACCCCGTGTCCTATCTCATCTTCACATCTTCAGCCTAATCCAACTTTTGCAGGGCCCAAGCAACAGTAAAACCAGAGGCCCATAACCCGTATGCAGAAATATAAATACTGACAAACTGTTCTATTGTTGCTGAGGATTTACCATTTTTATGTTGTGCAGAGTGTCTGCCTCTGGCTCACACCTCTGCCTTTTTCTCCCTAGTCCTAGCTCCTTCTAGATTACCTGAAGCCCTACTGTATGCAAAAGAACATGAACAGTGTCACACAGAGTCGGATCAGTGTACCTTTAAGCCCAGGGTTTGGTGATAGAATTTTCTGTGATCTCAAACCAAAAGGTTAGAGCTATTTTTTGGATAGCCCAACTTTTTTTCTTTACTAACCCCCTATAAACCTATCATTTGTAAATTTATCTAAGCAGAAACTCCCTTTGTCCTTTTAACAATTTAAAATAAACATCAAAAGCAGCATTGAAAAACCAAAAAATTAGCCACAAACTGGAAAATGGTATGTGTCACATGTATGATTGATAAGGGATATATAAATATATGTAAACATATATAAAATATACATTCTACAATTCCATAAAATAATTAAACAGTCCAGTTAGATGAGCAAAATACATGAAATGGGATAAAAAAAGAAAAAAACCCCTATCAGTAGCAAGTATGGGTGAGGATATGGAGCAAAGGGAATTCTAATGCTGCTTAGAGAACTGTAAATTGACACAATTACTTTAGAGAACAATTTGACAATATCTATAAACATTGAATATGTCCACATACCATAAACAAGCATTTCAATTTCTGGGTCTGTACCCCAAAAGAAATCTTGCATATGCACCACAAGACATGGAAGAGAACTTTCAGAACGTTATTGCTTGTAAGAGGGGAGAGAAAAAGGTCAGAAACAAATATGGCAATTTCGATTGGTTCAGTCATATACGTATACTGCATGCTTTCCAGAACAGGGTAATGGTGAATGGGAACACTGTGAATGTACTAAATGCGACCGAACTATTCACTTTATTTTTTATTTTCATTTTTTCTTGTTTTTATTTTTAAAATATAATTTATTGTCAAATTGGCTAACACTTTAAATTGTTAAAATGATAAATGAAATTAAAGCTATTAAAAAAAGAATGTTGAGCAAATAAATGAACATATGCAATATGGTATAATTTATGCAATGTTAAAAACCCAAGATGCCTCTGGGTGGCTCAGTCGATTGAGTGTCTGACTCTTGATTTCAGCTCAGGTCTTGATCCCAGGGTCGTAGGATCAAGCCTGTGTCGGACTCCGTGCTGAGCATGAAGCCTACTTGAGATTCTTTCTCCCTCTCCCTTTACCCCTCCCTTGCTCATGGATGCTCTCTCTCTCTCTCTCTCTCTCTCTCTCTCAAAAACAAAAAACACAAAACAAAAAACAAAAAAAACCCAGCACCCGCATAACAGTCCTAGATGTTGCTGTGCATTCATATCCATGTTGTATAAATATAACAATCTACATGGGATGATAAACACATTTTAGAATGGAGGTTATCTGAGGTGGGGCTGGGATTTGGAGAAAGAGGAAGAAATGATGCGGGGGCTTCCTTCAGCTGGCTGCTGGATCTGTGGGTATTCTCTCTTTTCTAAAATCTTTTTGCATGT